TGTGAGGGAGAAAAATATACAGGCAGCTGCCTATAATAACTCCTTCAGTGTATGTAACAGTGAGATACATGACTGGTGAAGTATTCAGGAAAGATTCCCAAGGAAAAAAAAATCACCTTGCAGTACTGTGTCCAGTGACACTTGCAAACACACGAGACATGATTTAAAATTGTGATGCACATCAGTCCTGCCTGGGTAATACCTGGAGTGCTTCAGAGGCTTGGCAATTCTGTGATTGTTGAGAAACATTTAAAACCACTTCTGGTACCCGTAACTTCGGGACATAAGCCCTTTGCAGCTGCGGCAGTGAGCACTATCCCTGACCACAGCATCACACGTTTTGTGGAAACAGCTAAAACGTGCCACACATGTGCCTCGAGAAAAAGAGAAGAGCAACAAGAGCCCAGCTCGAGGCAGTCCTGCTCTGGCAGAAGGGAGCAGGCAAGAACTGCAAGCTCCAAACTGAGTTTCAGCGTGGACTGTCAGCTTCCAAGCTTCCCACCGGTCGAAACAGCTGGTTCCCCACTAGCAAGAACTTTTTTTTCACATTAGTTCTTCTTTCCCTGATTTTCCCCAGCCCAAGTCTCAAAGGATTATTGAGTAAGTACTCTGCTGTGTGAAATAATTTGGTGGCTTCTTTGTGGACTGTGGTGTGATACAGAAAATTAAGTTTGTGCTATTAAAACATTTGACACTGTTTCTCCTGGGGAGTTATAACAGTCAAAGTATTTGCCTTTTGCATGTGTCTAAACATTTTATTAACATGGGAATGTCCATCCTTTGATATTTCCTTCATACCCTTCTGGCTGTATTGCTTGATTTGAATGAAACAAAATGCAAGCTATGTATTATTGCTGAATTCAAGTGATTCCTGGAAAGAAGAAAATCTGGGATGTAGCAAGGAGGGGGGAAAATATTTACCTTTGCAATGTGTTACAAGTGCTAAAAAGAGCATCATCTTCACATCAAATCAAGCAAGGTACAGGATTCAAGAAACAACGTGCCAAGAGGCAATTTCTCAGCAAGATGTTGGCATCAGAACACAAAGTGATGTGTCTGGAAGCAGAACTGCTGAGCTGCAAACAACCTGGGTGTGAGTCAGAGGATATTAGGACAGTGCCTGTCCACCAGGAACACAGACTTGATTGCATGTGACTTGTGTCAACTCTGGAGACATCAAGAGCAGAACATAAAAGCAAGGCAACAGAGATATTTCTAAATGAGCCATTCAGCCTCTAAGGCAATGAATCTGGCAACAACTCAAGTTTCAGGAGGAAAAAAAAGTCAACATTCCAGGTTTGTGTTCCATGGTTATATCCTTCATTCATTTTTTTCAGGCAAAAGGTCACCGAAACATCATGTTTTAAATCATTAAAAGACACAGTCAATCCCCTTTGAAACTAGCCCATAACTTTGAAACCAGAATCCAATTGCCTGTTCAGGCTCATTAGTGTCTTTGGATCCTAATGACCCACTCAGTTGCAGTAAATGAAAAACTAATCCTTGTTTTATGCCATTGGCCGAAAAGGATTAGCCAACTCTTGCTACCCTTGCAATCAGCCTTGCACTGGGGGGATTACAACCATCTAATACTGTAAGTCTACACATTCCAATCTGTTACAATATGTAGCACTTAAAGCTTATTTCCTTGAAATGCTTAAACGTACTAATGCCATAGTGTAAGATTGTTTTCTTGGGATGCAGGGATTCTTCTACCCCTGCCCCCAAAGCCTGCATGTTGCCCATGCACAGGCAGAGGTGCCCCTGCACTTCCAACGTGAAGTTTTAATTATGTTCATAGGCTTGAAATGAAAAATTAAATAGATATTTTTTCTTCACATAGGGCCCAGGCTGGGGAGGCACAATGTACAATGAGGTTATGAACTAATTATCTTGAACTGTGTGGAAAGGCTGCAACTAGGGCTGCAAACCACTGACACTTTTTTTTAATTGACTTTTCATTAATTGTTAGATGTTTAGAATACAGGTGATGTTTTTTGCATCCTATTAATAATATGAACATAGAAACAGAGCCACTACTTACTTTTAATGTTATCTAACCAACCCTGTGGGTTGTAACTCCAGTTTTGTAGCACTTTTGTCACTGCAGCTTTTCCAATCCAGAATTCTGGTTGCTCTTGCTATATTACACATAAAATCACTGAGCAATTAGATGAGTCTACAGTGCCGTGCCATATGCTTTTTTTCCTCTCAAAGTATTCAGACAACGTATCACTGACAATTTAATATGGTAAAAAGCCAGTTTTAACACTCTCAGATGCCCTACTCATACTCAAATACTGAGCAGTGTTTCTGACATAAAATATAAATAATTCCTGTGGTTTTATCACCTAAGTATTACATATAAAAGCACAACAAAATTTGTCCTACAGAACGTTATGCTGAGCATATGCACTTTATACTGATAGACTTGGACTGAAGTTACAGAAAATTCATAAATTGCTCTTAACATAAAATTTGATTTTTGAGTGTGAACAGTTTGCTGAAAGTCTAATTTCCTGCCAAAAGTGGTGCGTGAAGCCATAAAACAGCATTCCATGACGATAAGTCTTACATCCCAAAACTGCTGGAAGTTGTTACATCAGTCTTTACCTCATAGTTGCTACATGGATTTCTGAGCACCAAATTTATCCAGCTGTTGCTTATTTGTTAGCCAAATACCCCCAACTGCTTATAAACATGCTTTACATTTATGCATCAGTAAAACCAACAGTAAAATAGTAGATGGTGCTCCAGACAAGGTGTTATGTTACTTTACAAATTATAATGTTGTGGGTTTTTTTACTGGAAGACCACTTTGCACAACAAGGCATATGTGGAGACATGCTGTCTGTGTTATTTCTGAGCAGAAAAATATCATCTCCATATAGCTATTATGTCTGAGGGAGAAACAAAACTGAGGCATCAGTGTCTGTCTCATCACAGCAGCAGGTAGGAGTGTGAATGTCAGTAGTCACTCTTCAAACATTTTACTCAAGAAATTCGAAAACTGATTTCTTCAAATATCATTTTATTTCCTCACAATTTGGTGGCATAAAATATTAGTTATAAATATTTATTTAACCTAATGCAGGGTGGTACACTACCTTTTACGAGGAATTTTTCAAGTGAAGTCATTTTCTGTCAAAAACTTCATTAAAAACTTAAGTGGAACAGTAAATATATCAGGGCTCTGAACAAACATTTGCCTTGTGAGGAGGATACTCATATAAGAGTCAAAGCCAAATCCCTTCTCTGCTTATTTAAGAAAGGTTTTTTGCTGTTAGTACCTTAGGGCTCAGTTGTGAACCTGAGCTCTGTTTCATGAGGTGCAATACAAGGACAGAACAAAAAGGCAACCCCCACTCCAAGGATTCACAGCACAAGGGCACAGCATAACCCCATTGCCACCTTGCTGACAGCTGCACTGCTTTTAGGAGATTACAGCTCCCAGCTGCCACTGCCACGGCGCTGATGGAGGTTCCTGGTCTCCAGCTCAGCTGGAGTAACAGGTGGAATACCTGGAATACCTGGAATTTTGCTCTCAAGCAGCTCTCACTGCACTGACAAGGGAATCTCTGTCTACACAGCTTTCAGACCGGAGGTGGATGCAGTCAGGTGTGTGTGTAAAGGACAAACTAAAATGATGTTGGTCAGTGAGACACGTTCTGTGTCAGCAATCCAGCAACATGACTGCTACTGATTCTATAGACCAACAAGAATTTGACTGATATTCATGAAAAAAACTCAGTGTGTGTTTATTAGCAGTTCATGCTCTTAGATCTCAGTAAAGTGTCCCAGATGCTGAGTGGTTGGTTCTTTCAGAGTTCTTTTTCAGCAGCTTTCTCTTTTATGTTATTAATCAGCCTATCCAATTTCTGTCAGTAAACATCCACCAAGACCTAGAACTATGGTTTCTGCCACTTCAACCTGCAGCCTTGGCTTCTGGACTTTAATGTCAGAGACATGGATGACAGAATCCATCAGGAGAGGGGAAAGAAAGCTTCAGCCCTAAATAACACAGCCTCAAACTTGCCTCTCCCTTATGTTTTTCACATTGCCAGGTATGTAGCAGATTAGAAAAGCTGAGTCTCACTTCTTATTAGCTGAAGTTCAGCAGGGCTTCACTAAAACTTTCTGATTCGTCTTCATTAAAAAAAAAAAATCCAACTTTCACAAATCTCTAGGTACTAGTACTTAAGAAAATCTGGGTGTTAAAAAAATGGTCCTGAGACATTTAGGAGTTTGGCAGAAAAGAAATAGTGGCATAGATAACCAAGCTTCTGGTCATTTAGGGCTTTGCAGGTGAGCAGAGGGAAAAGGGACTCTACTCCCCTTCTGACATTGTTGACATTTTTTGGCAGACTGTGAAGATTCTGTGGACAGGATGCTTTTAGTCCACTTGTTCCACTCAGTCTATGTGCCCCCCTAACTAATTTGTGCATTTGCAATGTCTCTGTGAAATCTGCTGAATGATGTGGTCTTCTATTTTGCTTGCCTGCTGTCAGGAAGGGTGTTTGCTTCATAGTAAATGACTGAGAAACCCAATTCCATCATAAATTCATAAAGAGCATCCAAAATTAGTAACCTAAGCTTCATATGTAACAGAAAAAAAATATCTCCAAAGTGATCTGGTGTTTCCTTCAAAGGCCATAAATGTGAAAGTTGTGGTGCTAGAGAAGATGGTTCTGAGGGATTCACAGGGCACAGGGTTGTGCTGGCTCAGAATAGTCAGAATTCCTTGCTGAGTAACCCTGATATTGTCTTCAAAGCCATTCTTTCCACAAGGAAAGGTATTTGTGGAGAGCTGAGGGATACACTTGTGCTGACCACAGTTAGACTTTGGGAACTGTCTCTGCCTTTTTTTGAAAGACATTAGATAAAGAGGAAAAAATTTGCTTTCAGTATGTTGAGTGGAAAGACCGAATTTGAAATGTTAAGTATTAGAATTGCAACATTGTTTCACTCCAGATATTAAGAAATACCTACAAAACTTTACATAAAATTAACAAAAATGTTTATTTCAAAATTATAAATCAGCTGTTACACACAGAATACTTAAAACAGTGTCTTTAACTCAAATTCAGCTTTTACTGCTACAATAAACAGTCACTCTTACTAACACAAGTAATTTAGTTTATATCAGAGGCTGAAAGTAGTCATCTAGATGTTTAGGTGCTCTCACACAGATATTGAATTAACTCACTACTGTAAAATGATATTTCTGCTGCTTCTAAGTGCCAATTTGGCAAGAGCATATCATAACATTTTATGAAAAAAACACCTTTAGAAAATAAATAAGAAAAATAAATCTGCATCAACACACACATGTTCTTGCAGCAACTACAGTAATGTATTCTTACACTATTTCTTACAGAAATGAAAGGAGAAGATGAAATGCTTTGTACTTTAACTTCAGAAACTGAAAACATTTGTCAAGGCTAAGTAGGAAAAGAATTTAAAAGGAAGTCAAAGGCATTCAAAAGAGTGTAAATTGCTTTGTATTTTGTAAGGAAGAATGAAAACCTTTCATAGAAGGAGACTGTGATGATCTCTGATCCTGTCCAAATGCAAATGGAAAACTAAAGTCATCTTTTCCATCTCCAAATGCATGAGAAGTTGATTCTGAGGCGAAGGGAAAGGCAAATGCATCCTCACTTTCAGGTTTCCCAAAGAAGCTCCCTGTATGGAATACACATTATATTTATTATTAGATTAAATCTTACTGAGAGAATACTGCATTCAGCATATGTTCCTTTAAAAACACATTATGCCCAACGTCCTGCTGAGCATCCACATACAGTTGTGTGTTTATTTCTGCACTAGAAATGGTATTTCCAGGAGGTCATTATTAGAATCTACATCGAAGGAAGTGTGAAGTGCTCGAATGATTCAGAACAACAAAACACTTGTGCATGATATATTTTGCAACAGAGCAACAGAGGTCTTTGTAAACAGAATCTACAAAAGTCTTTCTTTAGAGAACAATGTGATCAGTCACTGAAATACTTGGAAAAACAAAGCTGCTGACAGAAAAACACTTGAATTTTTATTTAGTAGCACAGAATTCACACACTTAACAACAGCTACATATGCATAAACCCTTATATTCTATACTCATCCAATTTAAAAAAAAAGTAGCTTTGCACTTGCAGCACCTCAAAAGAAAAAGATTAGATTACAGTTCCCTTCAGGGAAGTGCTTGATCAGAAGTTTTGATCCTATTGATATAACAAAAAATTGGCTTTTCCTTTCAGAAAATCCAGGACTTCACACAGATCATGCAAATGTCTGTGGCTCACTCATACTGAGTGAAAGATACTGTGTATTAAGTCTGATTCTGCTCTTTTGTGCCATTTCTACATTGTGTACTTTCAACAGTTTACATCGATGAAAGTTAGTTTACTATTGAGAATTCTTTAATCAGATGGAAACTTTATTTTCATTTTAGTTGAGGGAGGAAACAAAACCCAAGCAGATGTACTCTTTCCAACTCTAAGCTGGTATCTTTAAGTTAAAGTAGTTTTTACCAAGTACTACAGCTTTTTACATTAAAATAACTGTTCTTTTTATCTGTGAAAAAGCTTTGAGAGTTGAATTTTTCTTCTCCCTTGCAGGTCCTCTCAGTTTGCTTCAAACACACCTGCCACTACTGCTATTTCTTTCTTTCTCATACCTCTTTTTCTTCCCATGGTGTCTCAGACATTTGAAGCCAAACGTGCAAGGAAAGATTTAAGCTCATCTAAACACAAATGAGCACAATAAACCACTGAGCTACATTATCACACCTGACTGTCCTTTCAAGACAAACAAAGGTGCTCTGCTAAGCAGGATCATGAGCTTGTCAGTCATATAAACACAAGCAGAAGACAGCTGGTCTACACAAGCACGTCTGAGTTTCAGACTTACCAATATCTTTGTGTGGGGACTGAGTGTTCAGGTTTCCCACAGGAAAATTTTCTTCTGCCTGAAAATGTAAACAAATATTCTATTTAACAAATGAGAAAGGCAACAGATAAGCTCTAATGCAGGTATGTAATATGCTCTTTTGCTTTTGGTGAGAAAGACACTGTCTCAGTGCTAGCAGCCTTCACAAAATCTGTATTCAAAGGTGTATATCAGTCCCTAAAGTTGCAAAGGAAACTCTTTGATCAGATAGATTTCATTATAGTTGCACATATCTGCAAACACTCCCTCCATTCTCCTAGAAAAAAACCCACATCAGACTGGTAGCTGTCCAAAAGCTGATCTGGCTAACTGCTGTTGTTTAAACTGAAAAAAAACCCCAAAATTATTTCATTCTGTGACATTTTAGAAAACCTCTAAGCAACAACACAATTAGTTCCTACTGAGTAGGACCTACCATTGCCAGAAAGAGTAGCAGGGTAATCACTTGTCACTCTTGAGGAGAGTTCTTACGCTACATTTAAAATAGATGCTGAAGTCCTTCAAAACTCCAATCTAACAGCAGAGAATCCCACCTCTGGTACAGTCTGATAATTCTTAGTTTCTGTCACTGAACAGGCACAAAATAATGTGGGTTCTGACAGCACTGCACGACTTAATATCCAACTCGTTCCTCAACAATTCACAAACCGCTCACCAGTGTGTTCTCTCCTACACACAGCTCATGCTACAAGACACCAGCAACATGGATCTGGCCAAACACAAAATGACATGGTGCTTTCCCTCACCCCTGTTTCAGCTTCCGTCCACTGAAACAGGAGATACCTGAGCTCCAATCCCTTATTTGCACAATGGGGTCTGGATCTCCATTGCCAAGTGGTACCTAACCCCTGTCCTAGGCACTGACACACATCCATCCTGGAGCCCCAGTTATCTCCCTGATAACCCAGGAGAGGAAAATTGACTCGGCAGCGCTGCAGTTGGGGAATCTGCAAGGAAAAGGAAGACCTGGATTCCGTTCCTTGTTCCAAATAGTTGTCTACATAGCTCCTCCATTTAAGTATAGCTATTCCATATTTGCTGTTCAATGCTCTTAGTAGGTTGTGCTTTCTTCCTTTCTCACTGTTCTTCACCTCATCAAGACCACAGAGGATGTGTGTGTGAGCTGGGAATTCTGCTAGAGAACCTAAATTTTGCACTGCAACACTGAACCAGAAGCCTTTTGGTAAATCAAGTCACCACTACATTTGCACAAGATTCGTCCGAGAAAGATTCATACTTGGTCAGAAGTCATCATAGGGGGAATTGCCAGGAAAGGAGTTAAACATTTTCAAAGGACAACAAAGTAAAATTAAGCAAGATATTAAAAAAAAAAAATTTACTACAAGATAACCAGCCTGAAAAATCTCATTCACTGTCAGTGCTGTTTTCTTCACTTATTTTGCTTTGTGGAAATGTGGCACTCACAAGTAATCATTTTTACCTCATCAGATGAGTTTTGTGCCCCAAACACAGAAGAACCAAAGAAGTTAAAGCCAGGTGACTTCTGGGAGAAGTTCATGAGAGAAAAGAAAGCAGGAGATTTTGATGTTCCTTCTTCACAACCTAAATTTTGAATGCTGTAAATACAGAAAGGAATAAACCATATTAATAGTTTTCTAAGTAATGATGGCTTTTTTTGTTCTATTTTGTTCTTTTTCTGTTTTTTCACCTTTTTAAATCCCCATAGCTTCCATCAATAATTTCTTTTTGCATCACAGCACAGGTAACACAATTCTTTAAAGCAAAAGTGGTATTCTTACCAATTCTCTACCCTTCTAACAACAACAACCTATTTAAAGATAGAAATCAGGGGTACAAATTACTGCAGGAAAAGACAATGTGTCTCATATTTCTAAGCAGAGTCTTGCTCTTTCAAACAGCCTCAAGTGGAAAGGATATTATAAGAAGAAAACCTAATAAATGCCTAGAATAAATTGGAAAAAAAAATCTGAATATTTTCAGACGAGTTTTCTAGAAAATTCTTTCTATAGTATCTTCCAGGAACAGCAGAAAGGCTTATACAATAAACATCAATACAGCTTTTTGCTCAAGATCAAATAAAAGTTGAAATCATACAAGTCAAAGGGAGGTGTTTCAGAGAACTGCATCTTCTTTCCCTTTAAGTCAGGTGTTTTAGGTACTCTTAAAAATGGTTCTGCACTTTCTTCTACTATGTCAGGATTATCTTCATTTGGATTAAAACACGTGTGTACATCCTATTAAAAAGAAATATACAACAATGTTTATAATGTATAAAATTTCCCAAAATATCATTAGCCCATTTACCTATAAATACGTTCATAATATGCTTTAGGTTTAGTTATGTCTCATGAAAAATAAAAGGATTTTAATAAAATGCTCACAGTGACATATTCACCATCCTTAAAACTGTAACCTTAATTTACCCAATTAAAATGGACTTCCTGTGAGTTAAAATTTTCATCCAAAAAATAAAGTTGTGAACTAACATTTTCAACAAAAGATGTAATTCTAAAGTATATCTTAGCATAATGTTTAAGGTCACACTGGAATCCTCTTTTGATGCTCTCTGGTGAGATAAAGGAACATCACCAGCAGAATATATTTTGGTTGACTGAGATATTTCATCTTCCTCAGAAAAGGTTAAATGAGAATGTACACTTGGATTCTGTGTAGCAATTTCCACCAGACTCAATATTGTTTTAAATATTTCTTCTCTATCAGTTGGTTTCAGGCATCATTCTGTAGTGAATCAACCAGAGGATGAAGAGCATCTCAGACTTGATCTTGTCTACTAGTTGTAGCTGTGTGCTGCTTTGGGCTGGGGTAGAGATTGTATTCTTCACAGTGGATGGCATAGGAGATACAGTGATAATTATTCAGGGCTGTTTCAGTTACTGCTGAGCAGTGCTCACACAACATCCAGGTCTTTTCTGTTTCTCTCCCACTGCTGAGTGGGCTGGAGGTGCACAAGGAATTGTGAGGGGACACGCTGGGACAGCTGACCCCAACTGACCACAGAGGTACTGCACACCATGTAATGTCATGCTCAGCAATAAAAGCTGTGGGGAAGAAAGAGGAAGAGGGGAATGTTTGGAGTCATGACATCTGCCTTCCCAAGCAACTGTTAGGAGTGATGGAGCCCTCTGTTCCTGGAAATGGCTAAAAAACTGCCCGTAGATAGGACATAATGACTGAATTCCTTATTCTGTTTCACTACATGCACAGCTTTTGCTTTACCTGTTAAATTGTCTCTATCTCAACCCATTTTTACCCTTCTGACTCTGTTCCCCTTTCCACTGTGGGGGGCAGGGAGCAAGTGGCTGTGTGGTGCTCAGCTGCTGGTGGGTGTTAAACCACATGTGGATACTACCTACATGTGCAACACAACTGGCTTGAATATTACTTGAATATTATGTGTGCTTGATCTCACATCCAGGCACACCTGGTAAAAGCAGTGGCAATGGAGCCAGCACTGAGCCTATTTATCACAGTTCTTTGTGAGAAATTAAGTTTCAAAAGCAGTCTTTTTTTTTTAATGTTTCATCAGCTCACACTGATGAAAATGTTATGCACCAATTGATATAAAAAATATGATGTGCATAGGATGGTCTATTGTTAAAGCAGCAAAAAAACCCCTCAGAACAATGATGTGATCAAGAGCAATGATCACTATATTACCAACCAGAGGGTATTGGTTGGCTCCTCACCTGTTGTGTGCCTTATAGTGAGTCACTTTGCCAGTTTCTGAGATTCACCTCTTGCCAAATGATTCAAACATGTCAAAATATTTTGACTATTGTAAATAAATTAATTACTTATGACATAAGAAATGCTTTGCTTACTTGAGGTATGTGCGAAGATTCCTTTGGCTCATCTGCTTCTTTATCACCACGTTTGGCCTCTTGGTTTGCTGCACAAAAAAAGACAGCACTGTCTGTATTACAGCAGCCTTTGAAACAGGTACATAAAAATTACATTGTGGGAAAGAATCCCTGAGGAGGGTTTACTAAGTTGGCATTGCTATTGCTGAGGAAGTGTTCTGACTGTGGTTTTCATAACAACCCACTCTGTGGCTACATCCATAATAATTACTTCTTGTTCTGCCACTTACTCACTATTGTCACAGCATTACTCGGGCTGCTTCCCGTGTTTTGGTGTGTTCTCTAAACCTACCCATTGTTCCCTGAGAGTGCTGTGTTTGTCTAATCCAGCCATTGCCCTCTGAGAGTGCTAAATGCCAGTCAATAGAAACCAGGTGGGGACAATATAAAAAGCACATCTGTGTGACAGTGATGAAGTGTTTAAAGGAGGATGAGAGGGAATGTTATCAGACTTTCTGCTCTAAGCTTCAGGTCATGCAACATCTCAGGCACTGTGGGTTAAGGACACTGTTTCAGGACACAGAAGTAGTGTCCTATTTATAAAAAAATATAGACTATAACCTTTTACGTGCATCTAAATTGGCAGTATAATTAGAAAAAAAATATTTAAACTGAAGTTCAGTGCCTTGTAATCTCAAAAACTGTAGGTGTGTTTCTAACTACCCTGTTTTGTTTCTGTAAACATTCTGTACGTTTTTCTCCAGTTAATTTTTGTCATTAATAATCTTAATGTGATGATTCCAGATTCCTAAATGACTGGGTTTATTATACCCCTTTTCTTTGCATTTTCTCATGCCTCCTGGGCAGATTTTGAGACTGGATTTCATTTTACCCAAGTAATTTGAGACTAGAGTAAGAATTTACAGGAGCTGTTGGAAGCCTCTATTCATTGGCAATAGTCAATGCAGAATGAATCTGCCTGTCTGCTATACTCAAAGTTTGAACTAAATAATCAAAGTGGGAAAGGAATACAAATGGTGGCCCTCTTAACACCAGAATGAAAATTTGGTCCCTAGAATTATATGATCCAGCCTTATAAAAAAAATTGCAGTGGTACCTTACCCATTACTGCCTTTTTACTCTCAAACTGCTGGTTGGAAGTCAACTGCTTTGGAGGATTTGTCACTCTAAAAGACAAAAATTATTGCTTGTCTAAATATGAATTACTTCCAAAAACCTCAGCCTTAAGAATGAAAACTACTTTATTAAAGTTACCTGAATTTCATTGGGGTTTGTATGCTTGCTATTGATGGAACCTGGGCAATTCGTGGGTTATTGGTCCCTGCGGTGTCAATAACCATCTAAAAGGCAGAAGAAAAATTCAAATGAGGCAGCAAATGAAATTGTCACATCAACAGTATCACCTTAATTTCTTCTTACACTGTGGAAATCCCTTCTTTTAACCGGGAATTAAGGATCAGGCAATGTAAAAAAAACCCTACCTTTTTGCCTGTATTTCCATTATCTACATTTTGACAGCATGATACCCAAAATCACTTCTATAATTTTTTATAAAGTCTTAGTCACAACACCGATAACTCGATGTGAATAATTAACTCCTCTGTGACACAAATAATGTTACGTAATTTACGACCTTTATCCAGGTTTGCTGCTGCTGCTTCTCAACACAAAAAGGGCTGGGCCAGGCCTGCCTCTGCCACTGAAGGCTGATGTGAGCATGTACATCAGTCTCAGTCAGCACAGATCTCCTGTGTGGATTGAAAAACTTCAGAAAACATGGAAGTATTCCCAGCTCACAGATTTTTATCAGATCAAAAGCCCTAACTCTCATATCTAGGGTGTCTTTGTGCCTTAAGGGCAGAGTGGCACCAGGGTTCTATACCTCTGCATCAGATAACACATTATTTCACAGGGAACATCTAGTTCTGGTTTATTTTTAATTTACAAAATGTATCAATCTGAATTCAGTTCAGGATAGGGGACTAAAGGGCTGGTTCTGCATTATCTGTCTGCCACTCAACTCCTGAAGTTTACAGCACACCTTCTCTGAAGCATAGCAACCTTTCTTCCAATCTTATTTTGCCTCAGACTCCATCTTCTTTTCCTTGTTGTCATCATCCTTTCTGAAAGTTCTCTTAACCTTGACTTACTGCTTCTCAGTATTGTCTAAGTGCCATTCTAAGTCCTAGATTTGCAGCCTCATCTCTAGATTACCCTGGCAACAGCCCCTTCCATCATCCTTGTCATGTCCAACTCCCTCAGCCAGTCACAAATGAGAATTGCTTGAAATTTCTTCTGGCCTCGTTCCACTCAACCTGGCCACTGCCCTTCATGTTGTCTTATATTATGAAGACACTGTCTTCTCCCACAAGCTCCACTCTACACCATTTAGTGATTCCCTCGCTTAGTCCTTCAGTTCCTTTGAAATTCTTAAGAAAATCACAACTGGTTCTGTTTAATTTTAGCTTGATTTTTATTGTTCAATAACATTTGGGTTTAAATAGAACGAGTGAGGTGCCCCTTAGAAAGAAGGTTTTGATATGGAAGCTTCTGGAGCTTCTGCACAGCAAACACAATCACAAACTATTTACTTTGTCTCCTATGGCCTTCCCTTATCTGAGTACTCCTTCAATACCTTAACAATCTATTGCTCCTATCAGTGTCCTTGCTCTCTATGAGACTATTAGTGGTTTTCACAACTGTGCAAGCTGTTCCTCCAACTTGTTTCTAGGTTGGTGGATTGTGTTTGAATATTTAAGATACAAATACACTTCACCATTTCATAAAAATGCCATATGAACTCTGTGTTTACAGATGAGAGACAGAAAATGGACTTGTGGACTCCTGCAGTGTACAAAGAAAGGTTGTTCATGGTTTTATTCCTGTCAGCCCAGATTTTTGTCTCTGGTTAAACCTCAGAACTGAGCTGTTAACTGTAGGCACACCTGTACAGCATCCTGCACACTTAGTCCTTTATGAAATCCTTCGTTATGGAGTAGATGGCTGATAAGCAATAGAAGCAATAGAAGATTATGCTCCTCCTTTAAAGCTCAAAAAATTTGCTACATAAAACCAAGTGAATCTACAAAGGCTATTCTAAATTTTAAAAACTATTACACAAAATTAGTTGGAAAGGTGGAGCACCTCAAGTTTGACATGAGAATGCTTTGCAAGAACAAACATATTTTCAGAATGAAAAGGCACCAAAGAAAGATTTTTGTTGTCATTACCAAATAATAGCAGATTACCAAGATTACAGGGTTGGCAGGTTTCATGTAAGATATTATAGCACAAGGCATGTTTGAAGTGTTTTAAATTTAAACCACCACATAAACCAGATTATATAATCTCATGTTTTTACCAGTGGGAGAGCTACATACCTCTGACAAATTTTCTGCAAGATTGGAGGAACTGCTAGTGGCAACTGAAAGTTCCATTGTTTTTTCTTTGTCTTCTCTCCCTAAATTAATAAATATCATGTAATATTGTCAATAGGATTAAGTATCCAAAGCATGACATTGTTAAACTAAACTTGGGAACAACGATTATAAATTTTCCTTTCAATACAGAGTGAAAAGAAAATTATCACAAAACATGAAAGTATTAATCAAATAATAGTTAATATTTGCTGTACTAATGCAAACAGTGCTAAAGGCATGTTTCAGATTTTTCTGGCAGCATGCATCAGGTGTATCTGTCATGTTACTTTACTCATTGCATAGGTATGAGAGGAACCAGACAGAAGATTTCCTGAACATAAAGATGGGTAAGCACCCAACTTCCACTGAAAACTTGGCTTCAACTGTCACAGTAGGAGCAGTTCACTGGATTTGTTGTTGTGCATTATCCATTCATTTACACAAAAATAATCCAAAATCCTCACTGAGAAATCATTAAACACACTGCACCTGTTTCTGGTTGTTGATTTGAGAATCTAATACTCTGTACAGACTGGACCAGTTTCTGAGGAATGCGTAGGACAGGTAATGGTTTGCACCACTGATGTTTCTCTTTTGGCAAAGGTGTGTGTTCAGGCTCTTCAAACATCCTAAACAGAATTAAATTTAAAATCATTAAGTCGCAAGAGAAAAGAAACCATAAAATATAACTGCTTCAAATAAGTGTAGTTTTCAAGGGAGTTGGATGTTGTCAGTGAGGTTCTACCACTTTCAGCACCAGTAGTTGATAAAAATTGACGTTTTCTTTAAATAATATCAGACAGAGAATATCACTGAAAAAAAGAAACCACCAAGTAGTAACAAGCCAATCATAAGAACATTGATGACTTAAATTTTGTCAGTATCAAAGAAAAGAATTAGTAGTTTGAAATTTGACACTTTGAATAAAGTACATCATTATTGTAGTTCTGAAATCACATTTTCACATTTAAAAACACTTTTTCTCTCTCTCTGAGATTGTCTGGAATACTCACACTACACATACACAAAAGAGAAAACTGCAGCAAGTGTTTTCACTTGTGGGGTAATTATCTGTGTAGGGTAAATAGCTCTTTACAGTGGAGAAAGACAGAGGTTAGCAGAACAATGAAGGGTAAAGTGGCTATTTGGCACAGGAACGTTTACCATTTTTTAAAATAATGAGTTCTATTCTATTTTCTCTCTGGCGTTCTTGCTTAGTGCCTCTGTGCTTCTAGCTACAACATCTGGTCTGTTACTGACTGAACAATGCTGGTCAGAACAAATAAAGAACTGAGTCAGTCTGTTGGTTCTTCCTGAAATGTTCCATAAACAAAAATAAGATAAAATGTAGGATGCTCTTTGTAAGACAATGTGGAGTAAAATTAGCGATACTAATAAAAAATACCAACTAGAAGCACTGGTTAAGATACATGGGCCTAACACATTAAACTCATATCCATACCTGTGCTCACATAAAACTGTGAATGCACCTCAGACAAGTAACTCTGATGAAAAGGACCATTTTCACGTGTAGTTACATATACACCTGGTGCTGTGCTGGACTGAGAGCTAACAAACCATACAAACCATATACCACCTAACACAGCAATCAGAAAAACCCTACGAATATTAGAGATTTTTTAAACAATTTTAGTTACACTGATTATAGATAAACCTGTGTCAAGACTGAATATTACAGGAAATAAGATGTGTATACAGCTGGTGCATCTTTAAATTCAGATGCAGGGAGCATAAAGACGAGGAGAAATCAAAACACAGCTAAGCACAGAACTCTGGCTAAAACTGCCTCACTTTGTTCAAAGTGGCTTATTCGACCACTTTACCACAATCAGCATTCAAAGACCAACGGAACAAGGCTGCAGTGGTTAAGGTCATCAGCTAGACTGCCATAGACAGCCTAATAAGGGTGGAGTTTTTTGTTGTTGGGGTTTTTTTTCTTTTGCTTTGGATTTTTTTTTTTCACAGAATTTAGGATGCTAAGTTATGTTTTTAAAAGTTCTTGCAGTCACTTTCCATGTGCTCCTGTAAAGCCTAGCAGACAACTCTACCTTTCTAAAGATTTAGTCTCCATTAAATATATTCTCCATATTCTCCATAAAAAATATTCTTTCACAACGCATATCTATTCAGAAGAATGTATCAAAGGCAGTTACAAACCAGATTCAGAAGCTCTTAAATATGCACTTTTTGAGTAACAGAGCTTGCAGTTAAACTTCATGCGTATGCATTACAGCTGTTCCCTTCCCTCCCCAAAAACACTGTTGAAAAATAAACCATGGGCATCTTCTCTGACATAATTAATAACCACTGGAAGAAAAATCAAGCTGCAAACTGAAGCTCAAAACAGTCCAAATTGCAGTAGCAAGAAAGAGCATTTGTCTTCTTTCTCTGCTTCATTGTTAGTAGACATCTGAGTAGATAAAAAAATCTTTATCTTGATCCATACTGCAAAACAGGGAACGCTTTTTAAAGTGTAAAGAAAAAAATAGATATTCTTAAATCAAAATAAAGTGGCATTTTCTTAGTAATAGTTTCTTCACTGTAGCATAACAAAGCCCAAAGATTAATATTACTTCATTTTCACTCTAGGAATCAAGTGCGTTTGGTCAGACATATGAAGAATCACACCTGATTCCTGTGGTATTTCCAAGACTCTCCTGAAGTCGTGTTCAGTATCCTCCTGAGGAGAATGCCAGCAATTCCTTTGGGAAACAGGACTTTAAATGACTAGTAACTAATAACTGCCTATGAGGTTTGGTGAGCACAGGGTTGCCTCTTCATATATGTTTACATTGGAAGTCCTGAAACAACTTTTTAAGTACTTTTCCAAGAATTATATTACCAAGTTTTTTCTTTGATCAGTAAAAGTTAATCTCTTGTAACGCAGAGGTACTGAAAGAGCAGCAATAATCTGCCATGGGACATCTTTTATGTGAAGTTTTAGCAAAAAGCTCTCTCTTGGAACATAAGAAGTGGAATTAATATACGACCAAATCGGAAAAAGAATAAATACAGAATTACAGAATAATGAAATTAAAGCTCTCTCAAACATTTTAGAAAAGCAGAGAGAATGGACATGATATATGCTGTAGCACAGTTCAAGATATCAGCCTTTCTACCTAATAAATATAATCTCTAATTGAGAAATCAAGACTAGGGCTTCAAAAGAGTTGAGTCCTATTTGGTGGCTGATGAGAACTCTTAATTTGCAAATTTTACCTATGATGACTGTCAGTGTAACTGGTGAACTATGAAAGCCCACAAATCAGAGAGAACAGCTGGTATGAGCAGAGGCACCTGTGTTTTGCACTCAGTCTTATCAATAACTGACCAGCCAGCAGTAAATGATTCCAACTAAAATGTTCCAGGCCTTTTAAAAGAACATTTACCATTTCCATTCTCCTACCCAAAGGAGAACATATAAATCAGCACCTATTAATTGACTTGCAAGTTGGTTTCTTGTCTTGTAGCCCTCTAAAGCATTTCATGGGTATTAATTTGTACATTGTTCTGCTCAGTGCTTTCATTGCTCTCTTTAGTTCTTTCCCCTGATGCTGCTGGTTTCATGCTGGTCTGGATCAGTTCATGGAGATTCACAGTACAATTCCCTTTTTTTCTGCTTATTTTGTGGCAGATGAAGATATCTCCACAAAGATTTCTTTGCTCAGTAGTATCTTTGTAGTGACTGCAGGACAGCTCACAAGAAACTACAGCCTTTGGCACCCACATTCTGCTGTTGTATTTTTGTACATTGCCTTGAGTCTGCAAAAGTTTTATTTCACGTCTCATTTTCTCAATATATTTTCTATTTGTTTTTTTTTCCTCACAGTGTTTATGCTCACAGCTTCATAATATGCTCATTTTTAACATCAGTAGTTATTTGAACAGTTACTTCAATGCTTTCTAGTGAAGACTTCTTTTAATAAATTGATGTCAAATAGGGGTTTTAAAAACCATTTTATGCCATTTTCTACAGGCCTTTACATTGTGGATATTTTTGACATAAAAAAACTTCAAAACCCTTTAAAATTTACTCTAGGAAAAACTTATCAATTAATAATCAGGTTCTGGTCTGATAACACTTGCTATATCACAGAAGTGCATACATGGAGGTTAAAAGGCACTGTGAGTTAGGGTAGTGTAAAAGGCTTACACCACCTTCTATCCATGATGCAGCCCATGGAATTATTGCTGCAGTTAGAGCTCCAAAAAGATCTGCTGGTGTGCAATGCAGACACAGCTACAGGTGGAGGTACAAGCACCTGAAGGCTCCACAACAGGGAGATAAAAGTAGAAATGGCAGGTCTGGCAGTGCACCCAATGGATTCCTTTCCACGAGGAGCCTGTCTGAGGGATTCTTACACCTCCATACCCAGAGCACAGACCTCTGCCTCTTATAATAAGTCCCTAATTGGCTTTTTTTGCTCTGCAGACTGAACACACATGAGTTTCTTTGAAAATTCAAAGGGAATGCTTCCCATCTTTTATTTCGCTTTGTCTTAAAACTAATGGGATTTCTTGTTTCCCCGTGTTTCTGTTCTTGCCAATTCTAAAAGCTTACATAAGGAGGTAGAACGGGTGTAAAGGCTTAAAAAAAAAATCATCTGTATGATTTGTAGGTAAGGAGATATTAAAGAACTAAAAAATCCCTGTGGAAAGGATCTTAGGGATGACATATTTCTACAGATATATTCCACTAAATCCCTGCTTAAAGCCCCAAAAATATTCTTTTTCAAGTGCACCATGACATAAAATCACTCAGACAAAATCTTTTGGTCGTATTTTTGCTTTAAAGTGGATTTTGATCTGGAAGTGTCAGCTCAATGGGAGATGTTTCAACATTCACAAGGACTCCAGATAAGTGCAAGATAGTCCTGGTGGTGATTTTCAGTCATTGTAATTGAGCTCAAATTAAAGTGAGTCCCAGCTGTAAATGATCACTGACTAATTTACTAAGCCATTAATCCTGTCTATGAAACTTTCACTCATGCTTGTTTTTAAGAACTAAATTAAGAGTTAAATTTCTGAAGTAGTTCAGAGGTGAAGACAACTGACTTGTGGAACCCTGACTCTTTTCCCCAAATATGCATTTAATAGAGTTGATGTATTTTATCTCTGACTGCACAGTCACTGTAGTTGCATTCAAAACTTGTAACACTACTCATACAGATTTCTCAGAGTAGCTGAGGAGCAAAGGTTTCTACAAAATACTTTAGAATAGTATTTTTTTTGATACATTGAGCTTCCAAAAATCAAAATTTGCCACCATCTTAATCCCCAGAAATATAAAACTTTTAAAATTGCATAATTAAATCACATGATCAGGGTTAGAGAAGCTTGCCACTTCATTTTTAGCAACAATCTGTGTTTTGTAGCACTCTCTGTGTAATGCTGAGATACTACTCTGAATAAAAGCAAGGAAAAAAATAATTTTTAAGTGCACCTTTCTTTAAACTCCTTTGGTTTCTCGAGACTTTTTTGATTTTTTCCTTCAATCATTTCAGAGTTATCTTGATCTTCTGTAGCCGCTTCAAGTCTCTTAAAAGATGAAGAACAAATAGCATAAAAATTGACAAAATTTTAAATACTATAGCTATGTGCTACAAAAGTTTTCTAAACCTGACAAATCACTGCACAGTAGTAGAGTTTTTGCAGCCAAGACATTCTGAAGAAATAAACAGAACAAGGTTAAAGAGAGGAACTTCCATGTTTGTTCCAATTCTTACAGTTTTGGAACATGGGCACTGTATATCTGTTCAGAACCTGGAGCTCCCTACATGGTTTCCTTCAAAGCTATAAGCAAATCCACCTCATCCCTTCTCTGCTGTATGTTTATATAGCACACACCACCTTAGGAACTTTAGTCTAGGACTGTGTGTGTCAAACAGGATCACTAAATATTAAATATAAAACCAGAAGACACCACTTGTGCACAACATGCTTCTATCAGCACGGGGCAGTAAATGGAGTCCTTGATCAGCTGTTTCAGAGAGGCAAAAGCACCCAGATGCAATGCTATAAAAAATTACTAAAGCTTTACAAGATTGGCCTACTGGGCTACTCAGGCTTAAAACAGACCTTTTACAGAGGGCTGGGTCCAACCGCTGCACTGACAAAATCCCTTTTATTTTTTGAAGATCATCCCTTTGAAATCAGTGCTTCTTCTAGTCAGTGGAACTGTATTGATCCCCTGCCTAAAATCAGCCAGTTTTACCTCTGAGGGTTATATACCCACACATTTATTTGGGGGGGAAAAAAAAAAAGAAATGAAAAAAAAGAAGGAAAGCGGGAATTTCCATTATTCTTGTTGTAAAGCATATTTAGTTAAACACAAACCCTTAAAAACCAGTAGGGCCTGTGAAAGCTGTACACTCAAGCCCTGGGGCTCACCAAGGAGAGTCCCTGCACTGTTTTCAAGTGTCTTCTCTTGAGATAACACCAAAGTCCTCGTGACACAGTGCCTTGACAGGAACTCTGGCATAGGCAGAAAGCAAGCTTTGAGAGCCTTTACATTCATGGACCCCCCTTCTCTAAGAAAACATATGTGATGCTACAGAAACATAAGACTGGAATCATCCTCTTGGCCTGTGTGCTTGAAAATACACCACTTTTTTTTATGTTTCAGAAAATATGATGGCAGTATGTATAACTGCATAACGTGTATTTCTAGAAAATAAAATTAAAATACAGTTACCTTTTCTAAAGAACCAATCTTCATTTCTAATTCATCTGCTTCTTTTTTCAGTTTGACGAATTCTTGTGCAGCAACAGTGGTAAGATGTAACATTTCCTGTGTTTTTTGCTTTGAAGATGCACTTTCATGTTATGGACTATATATTTGAACAACATGCTTTTTTTTTTCTGGCAAGGGATACCACCAGATCACTGACCCCTCTGTGCCATAAGTGCAAATGCCAGAGGTGCAGAAAGCTCTGACAAATCTACATTTCTTTGCCAAATCTTCAAATCTAACTTCAGTTAACATTCTCCTAAACAAAGAGTTTTCATGGATATGTTATTAAATTTTTTATTCTCTCTCTGGAAAATGCTCCCATAAATTTAAACGGAAGTGTATTATTTGACCTTTGATTTTCTCACAGAGAAATGCTGATGCTGCCACTCTAAAGATAAACATATAAATAATTAGTCTTTTCTAATAGAAAGTTGTGAAAGGTAAATTTAAACTTTTTTCCCTGCTAACTGCACAAACATTACAAATAAAGGATACATGTGCACAGCCCAATCATTTACAGATTTAAAAGGAACAGCCTCTGCAGAAATAAAATTTAATTTCAGAACATTAATTAACAAACCTAATTTTCTTAACAAATATAAGATAAATTAATAGATCAGGAGCACGTTACTTAGTATAGATAACAGAAATTGCAGTGTAACAGTAATGCCATTAACTTGCACTAAAAAGATACTCAAATTAAATTTAAAAGTCTGAGAGCCTCGATCTAAAGGATTCTTAGAACATTTTTACCCCAAGAGCCCCAATGACAAACCTCTCCCCATTACATTCAGGGGCTGAAGAAAGGAATATTACTATATACACTCTAAATTTTTCTTTGCTACAGATTTTTTTCCTAAAAATAGTGTAACACAAAGAATATATTTTATTAGCTTAAAGGAAACTGTGGAAAATGAGAGAACTTCTGTATGGCACCTTTAATGTGCAGTGCACTGCCAGTAGGCTTTAGTGTAAAAGCATTGATAAGAGCTGTACCCAGATCCAAGCGAGCATCTTCCTTCCATTTGTATTTTTTCCAGTGTTTCAAAACTCTCTTTTGGATTTCTTCAACTTCCTCCTTTTTTTTGTAATGCCTCTGGGCAAGAGCAGTCCCTGCATATTTTTTGTGGTGTTCCTCCAAAACCTCCTTATACTGGGTTATGCAATCCTCATACATTTTCCTATAAAAATATACACATAATTTAATGTTATTTCACATGAAGTCATTGTTCATAAGGAAAAAAACTATTAGTTTGTGGCTTCAGCTCTGATGGGAAAAAAAAAGGATTATATTTAATATGCCACTCTTTGGTTTTATTTTTTGTTTTCTAGCTATTTTCAAGGAATACTATGTTGTATGTAAAAAAGAACACAGTTGTGATGTAAAAACCAGTCAAACCTCACTGTTCTGAAAGGAATGTAGACCATAGCACATTCAAAGTCAGCCTGGCAGATGACAAACATATTTTTTCCTGTGGCATTATCATGACACTCACTTCAGGCCAAAGCCTCTGCTGGTGTTTATTGGCACAACTCCCTCAGTTTCGGTGGAATTGTATCAAACCTACAGTTAAAGAGAATTTGGCCAAACACCCCATATTTAGAGCAGCCTGATGCACCACTGGACTAAGAGCTGCCTCCAAGGAGATGCTGAGTAATCTCTGTCTGACTCAGGGAAGCCTTAAACACACATATGAGTCACACTAAAACAATAGGACTATTCACACTTAAGGCTAAGCAAACACTTAAATGTTTAAATGGCAAAGAGCCAGAATGCTCAGCTTCTTGTAGGGCTGCCCTGTAAATTAATGTTACACTAATATAATTTCACTGGCATCATGTGAGCACACAGCTATGAGTTACTAAGGTAGGTAACATCAATTAATGTTCATGACATTCTTAAAACTCTCAATCAGCTTTTTAAAAAATTGTACTGTAAAAACTAACAAATACCAGAAGTAACAGGATGCAACTCATCACATAAAGCATAAAATTTAGGCATGTGCAAAATACATAATAAGAGCATGATGGTGAATGTTTCTGCAGATGGCAGATGTTAATAAAGAGGTATCACAGCTGGGTGTAAATTACTTATGAAAAATGTTTAAAGTAGTGACAATTTCTTAAGACCACTATACTATGGATGGCCATAAATACTGCTCTGTGAAAAACAGATTTTGGGAAAAGAATATGAAGTTAATAAAGAGGTTAATAAATGAGGTATGTTAATAAAGAGGTATCACAGCTACAGACATCCAGCATACACTGTTAACACTAAATAGTCATTTAATTGGGAAAGAAATAATACACAGAGTTCCTTGATATTACAATAGGCCAATATAAAATCATAGAAGGTAAAGGAAATGTCATCCTGTAGGAAAAGGTTAGGTGAGCAATACAGAGGGACAAATTTAAAAATATTAAGTTATTAGTACATCCGTAGATTAGCAAGAAATTACTTTATGGAAAAAATTATGGCTCATAACAGCAACTAAAGCCAGAGAGCCATCTCTTTACCTGCCCCACGAATAAAAGCTGCATTAAGGAACAGCTCTCTCTGCTTGCAAAGCAGACAGTATTCCTCTTTAAGGAACACATTTTACCTCAAACTTTTACTAATCACTTAATTGCAGCAGGACTGAAAGGCTGCATTTGTCAGTCCTGGCTGCCCGCTGGCAATCCCAGACAATGGGAGAGAGAAAAACTTGTGTCCAAACTCAGGGCTAGAAAATTCTGCTCTTACAAAAGGAAAACAAAAGTCACGGGGTAAAAAACAGGAAGATTTTAATTTTCAGATCAAACTACACTCCAGGCACTGGCTCCTGTTAAACTGATTGAAGTTCAATACACTTTAGGGGAAAGAAGTGGTAGGTCAACACTGTGAAACCTAGGAATTGGCACTTCCCAAAATTCACATAGAAAATTACACTAATCTATCTGTTTTTCTACACAAGTGGTCTCAGGAATCTAAGTTTCTTGATTTATTTGATATTTCTGTATAATGTACAAAATTTCCCAGGTACGAAAGATGAAAAATATTCAATTCTATTTAATTAAATAAATGCTACAAAACTAGCTGAGGAAAAAAAAAATTTGCTAACGTAAAATTTAGAATACATTACAAATAAATTTAAACAATATAAATAAGCAAAATAATTTGTTGTAGCAGATTTCAAGCTTCTGAATATAATCCTAAAACTTTATATTCTTTTCCAAGAATCTATTTGTCTCAGATTAATATTTACAGCCATATATAGTGTAGTAGTCTTAAGAAATTGTCACTGCTTTTAATATTTTTCCTAAGTAATTTACATCTTACAGTTTGTGCAGATAACACAGAAGTATTTAGAATTCAGCACTGTTCACATTAAAGTCATTAGAAAAAGTTTTAATCCAATTGCAATGGGAAAGGGGCAGTGCTCACAAACCCCCTAAACATTATGTAGATGGCAATTTATTTCTCTTTCCTTCTTCAGATCACTTTTTTCAGGATAAACATCCAGTTCGTATGAGCATTCTTCTATGTTCTTGAAACCAACCACAATGAAAAAATGTGGAACGTTTGTAAAACCTACATAAGTGCCTAATTAAACACAAACTGATCTGCCCATCTTTTAAAAACATCTTTCCATCTAAAGAAGCATGTCCTGCGTGCCCACAACTCCCAGGCTGAAAAGCACATTCAGCTCATAAAGTTCTAAATATACTGATTTTTCTTCCTAATTTAAATATTTAGAATTTGCTGAATGCACATTTAGCTGACTTGAGCATATCATCAAATGCTTCAGTGCAGAGGGATTGTATCTGAGGAAAAGTTTTGAAAAATAGATGAATTAAATTTATTTCATGATTTATAGTCATGATGTCTTATAATTAAGATTAGGAAAACAGATCAAACACTTTCATGTTGGAATTGAAACTAGTTATCTAAAGAAGCAATTTAAAAGTAATGCTTCTTTGGCTTGTCAGCTCAAATTAGTGAAAGCCAAAATGGCTTAATCATATACTCATAGAAAGCCAATTTAGCCTTATTTTTCACCAAATTTAGAGCTCTGAACAGGAAGAAGACAGATAAGCTACTAACCGAGTTAATTAAAGGCTATCAGGCATGCTATTTCTGCTGTCTTGGACAACTGGCAGAAAGAACAGTTACAAAAGACCCAAAGCCAACATTTTAAATCACCTAAATTTGGGACTCTAAACTGGTATTTAGATCTCTAGAGGGGTCTGCCGTGACTTTTGTGCTGCAGGGCTAAGGAGCCTCTTCCCCCTGACGTGCAGATCAGTGAAGGTGAGCAGCCTCTCTGAAATGAAGGTCTGTTTTACTCTTTTAAACAAAACTTTGGAGGGCTACTTTGGCACAGCACATTTGGAACCTTTCAGTGAAAATCTTCAGGGACTGCTCTTGATCTCACTGAATGTAGGCAGCTACATTGCACAATTCATAATTTCTTTTGACTGCAGAATGTAATTAATGAAGATGAAACACCTGAGATGACACTTACTGAACAGAACTGCGTTTGCATGCTTTGTGCTTATTTTGAAAAATATACAGCAGTACACAAAAACTTGGTTTTGTACATTCTAATAATCATATACAATTCGTATTCCAAAATAAAGAAAAGCATGAAACTATCTGAATGCTTCTAATTGTTAGCTGAAAAAATTGTCTTTACTTCTTGAGCTTTTCTTGAAACAGTAGGCAATTGAACAGTGTTCTGAAAAATTGTAGTAGGCATTTGGGAAGCAACTGAAGAATCCATATTGTATCCTATTCCACTGGTAACTACCAAATAAGATATTACCTCATAATAATGTAAGCCAAAAAATCCTTTTAGTTATTCAGTCACTCATATTGTCCTGTAAAGTTTACAACTGTGATGCAGACTGCTGGGTTTAGTCAGGTTAATAAGAAACCTCATCTCACGTGACCACAGATACCTCTCATTTTCTGTAGCTTCCTCTAAAGCTTCAAGTTCATTTTTCACATATTCTTCATGTTTGCTAAGAATTTTATAGGTGGGCTTCCAACTGTGGAGAAAGTTAAAAAAAAAAAAAAAAAAAAAAAAAGAAAGCATATTAGGGGTCTTTTCTAATAAAAAGCCATTCAAAAAATAAGACGTCAAGTTACTTCAGTAGCTTATTAGAACAAATAATTCATTAATGTTTTGAAAGTCAAACATAAATGGGTTTAGTACAGAAGTCTTTCACATGCATACATTTATTTTGTTAAGATTTTAAAGCTGCAAATTCATTACAATAGATATATAAAAATAATTAAGATTACAAAGCAGGTTTTAAGGAATGAATGAAATGGGCTTCACACAGTTTTTTGGAGCCTAGTGCTAAGCAATGAGGCATCAAAATCCACTTATTTGGTACTCAGCAGAGTACCATGAGTAAATCCTTTAGATATGTACAATCTTCTTGTTGGAGATGCCCAGAACTTCATTCTCATCAGTATCAGCAACACCCACCCCATACCTAAATGCAAGCAGCAGCCACAAACAGAATTTCCTCCATTTGCTAAGCCAGTGCTGCTCAGAAAACACCAAAGTGATTTTCCTAGAGCAGGATGCTGTAGAAGGTACTGAAAGCACAGCAGCTTCATGGAATACTTACGACTACTAAACTAACAGTACTTTCTCAACACCCAGGTGTTAGAGATACCTCTTCCTTGGGTGTGGGAATATTAGAAAGAGAGACAGATAGACTTTCTGATTCCAGCGAAATTCAGATGGGAACTTTAGGAGAGGCATATAAAAAGGTTTTTGAAAAGAAAGAATCCTGCCTGAAAAAAAAAAATAGTGTAAGGAGCGTGTGAACAGGCTGGGCTGGAGTGGGACAGAGATCCTACTGCCAATGAAAAGAAATTACATGCTCCCTCCAGTGGAATCTACTATAGAAAAAATTAGCATACCCTCTCTCCAGCCAGGACTTAAAGGGATCTATATATTCAGCCTTAGTCCAGAATACAAGCTGTCCTAGGCAGCACTAACACCTACAGTGAAGTTTGAGAGCAGCTATCTGTCCTAGGAGAAGCACACAGAACCCCCAGCTTTAGGAACACGGACATAGAGAGTATCAAAGCTAAACGTTGAAAAAATAGAAGGAAAAATCCATTAGGACTGACGAGACTAAGTGAATCTGCAACAGCAGAGATACAGTTACAGGAACAAAGAGGAGGGGAGAAATGGCAATACAGAACAAGGCTGCAATTGAAAAAAGCAAATAATTCAGAGAGCAGCTGAGGACATACAGCTCACTTTGCACTGCATAGCCATGAGTAGGGTAAGTAAAGGGCATTTTTGGATATGAATGTGCCCCATGGTTCAAAGCTGGAGGGTTTGTGACATCCAATCACACAAAGTATGAACATCCATTTGAACAATCACTCCAAAGGTAGAATAAAACAGAGGCTTCAGTAACAGCTGACTTACTGCAATTTCCATCAAGGAAATAAATAAAGAGCAAAGATCTGGCAATTAATTTGCTGAACTGAAGTCAAATAATCTTGAACTCCAGGTGATGAGATAACACAAGACACAACCACCATCTATAACAGCAGTAAAGTTTGTCAACAAAACAGCTCACTGAGGAATGACAGCCTCTCTCAAGAAATTTAGCACTGTGGGCACTAATTGTTTGACACCACTGGTGATTAAAAACGTAACTACAAAAATGTTACTTCGTCATATCTACTGCAAATGCAGCAGAAAGCTGAATTTCTAAAGGGTCAGATTTTTTTAAAAAGCAGAAACCAACATACTTATATAAAAATGTGCTGGCACACCAACACTGTGATCTTCTTCTTCTACTCAGAAGCCCCCATCCCTTTCTTTGGAGGAAAAAATATCCAAGAGATATAAAAGTCAAAAAGCTTTTATGAATCAGAGTACAAACCATGTTTACATGTGTTCACATCTACTCTGTAGACATACAAAAAACACACAGTACAAGGACACTGGTTTGTGAGCACAACAAGGTATGCAGGATTCAAGTAGCTCATCTACCAGTTTGCTAAATGCATCACTGTTTCAGGGATCACATCACATTTATGTGTCCTTCCTTTCATCAGCCAGGGTATAGAGAAAAATCTTTGTCCACACTAATCTGTGAGCAATAACATTATCCTGTCATTTGGTAGTTTGGCTAGAGGGACAAGACAACGATTTCTTTTCCAAACTAACAGCATTTTGAGCTCATCCGGCTTTTTTTCTTATTATGTTTTTTCTATTTCCATGAAATCTCACCATCCCTTGCACCCAAATTTAAAAACTGTAAGAGAAACAATAAAATTGGAATAGGTTCCACCAGCAGTATTTCACTACTTCTTACTTCTCTGGGATCAACATTTACAGTTTGAATCACTCAAGAAACTAAATATTAGCAAAATGTCATCACTTGTCTAAAAACATATGTTTCGTTTGGCTCATTTTGTGCCAGTTCTTTGTTACACAGACCAATATGGATTTCTTTTAGAAAACACGGTATTATTCCAATATATCTGTCTCATATATCATATTTTCTATAGACTTGTTGAATATAAGAATCCTTTCTGTTGTTCAAAGTCTTCAAATCTGCTTCAATACACTCATGATCATGTCTAGTAACCCAGACAAAACACTGTTTCTTTGAGAGCTCTATTGAGCATCACTGGCAATTAGTCAGCTGAGAGGGTGATTGTGACTCCAAAACAATATTTGAATTTGCAAAACCAACATTAGAATCATGTCCAGTGTAGATGGAGTGTCAACTAGAATAAATTTTAGAAGTTTAGGATGATTCTACTGTGTAAGTGCTCTAATTGTCTGATCTTACAACTAGGGCTTGTTTATTGCAGTTTTCAGTGTGTTGTTAAATGACATTTCCAATAATTTAAGACACAAAGCCTCTACTCTTCTGCAAGCATTGTCCTTCTATGAATACATGTATTCATTAATGAGTCACTTCTCATTTTCAGTCTCTTTACACTAATGCCATTAATTATTCTTTGTAGGACTTGAGCCAAAACCCAGCGAATTCAACTATTAAAATTTAGATCAGATCCTTAGTTCTACCCTTAATTTTTTAATCCATTTTTTTTATTTCATTTGCATCATTTAACAGTTTGTGATTTGCAAAAAAGATATCAAAGGAAGTGGTGTGAGTAGTTTCATAAACTTACATAAGTGTTCATTTTATCCTGCATTGGGGGCAAGAATGTGATGGAAAAATGGAATTTTCTTGCCAAGGTCAAATTTTTTCCTAACCCTTTTTATGATAAAGCCACAAACAAGTATGGTATGGTTTTCCATTCAAACAGCCAGCCACTACAACCACTTCATTCACTAATGATTTCATTCTTTCTTCTGTTTTCTGAGGGTTCAAAATAAAACCAGAAAGGACCCTAATGCCATATTTACTTCCCTCTTTATTTTAGAAACACCCACACTCTCCATTCACATCCAAAACCAAAAAAAAAAATTCAAATGTATGTTATAGATATTTTTATTGAATACTTACCTTTAGATATAGAATTGCAAGAAAACGAAACAGAATTTGCCAAGAAATCATCACTTCAGCTGCTGAGGAACTAGAAAGATTGTGGAGAGATGAACACTGTGGTGGATTTTATCACCTGGGCCAAACCCTCTGTAGAGTCAAATACAGATTTGCCTTTTTAGCTACCCCTACAAACACCTGAGATCTCCATTTCTGAAAACAAAACATTATGTGTCAGGAAGAAAAAACTCCTTGCAGCCAAATTGCTTCTTGAAAAGCTTCTAATTACTAAGATCCAAAAGTGATCTGCATCTAAAACTTGCACTGATAATCTGACACAAAAATTTATGTAAAGTGTGAACAGCAGCCCATTGCATTCACCAAAAGAGTGTGCCTGGGAGAACAATTCAGCAGCATGGAGCAAAAATTATACTAAAATCTGCTAGTAGAAGCACACACATATGTGTCAGGAAGACTTTTTTTTTAAGAGTATTCTTAGTGTTGTTCAAATTTGACAAGAGCTCAGATGTGTCCAAATATAGAAAAAATATGTTTCTATTACCTTACTACATAAATACTTTAGCATGCTGCAAAGACAGTACCTATGATCTCTGAAAATTGCTGATTCTAATAAAAAAACTAATCTAAAATTAAATGTAGTCTGATTTTCCATGATTAACTTTCTCAGGGGATGGGTAATACTGCCATTTTTTCTTACTTAAGATTTACAGTTTGAAAAAAATAGGGGAATCCTAAAGTTTTCTTTAACATCTCTCCTGTCAGAACACACACACACACATATTTTTCCATTACTTCCCCACTGACTTCCTTATTGCCAGGTATAACTCAGAGTCCAGCCTAAACTGTACTTACACATTACAGTTCTTCTTACTGCTCTCATGTTGCTTTTTCAAATCAGCTATTTCCTCATTGCCGTTCTTTATATTTTCCTCCAACTTAGCAATTTTATCCTTTTTTTCTGCGAATTCTGCAGCATATGCTAAAATTAAAAATAAAAAAGTAAACATTCAACAGATCCACGGAATATAAAGCCTACACTCAGAATTATTAAAAATTTCTCCCAAAATACTTCATCTCCGTAGCGCCAGGTGAGTGGACACCCTGCAATTAAGCAAAGCAACAACAAAGTGAGTCAAAACTTAGGGAGTTTCAGCTGCATGGTGAGTACCTTTGTTATCATCTAATATCATGAGATTGGCTTGGGAAGAAAAAGTAATTATTTGTGCTGCTTCTGAATCCCACTCTGTAGGAAACCGAAGTAACAATTAGTGGCAGAAAGCAAAGCACTCTGAACAGTTAGAGCTGAGCTCTTGCAGTCCTCAGTGTCTGCAGACACTGTAAGCAGCACACAGGGAAAGCAAGGTAAAGGCACTTTGCCCTCATGGATGTTTCCAACTGGGCAGACTGATTGAAATGCAAAAGTTGCTAAAGATAAATGTCTCTTTGTTGCGTTTTAGGAATGGTATTCCCCAATTTAGTGTTCCCTCTGAAACACTTCAAACCACCTCGTTCTCCCTAAAGAAAGGTATAAAATAACCTGGAATCCTGGCCACGCCCCTTCTGACTACGACAAAAATTAACCCTGTCCTGGCTGGAACCAGGACACTCTTCCAAACATTTGTTTTCTCTTACAGAAGTCCAGAAACCCAAACGTTTTGAATGGGAAAGCTGACTACAAGAAAGGAAAAATAAAACCATCACTAAAGGCATATAAGCAATTAGCAGAAAACAGATAAAATAAAATAAAAAGGAATTTTACTCAAGGTGTATGATACATTAATACAGGACACAGGTTAATTAATAAAAAAAGCTTTCTAATGACAAATTCTCAAGGACTTTGATATTTGTGGAGATGCTGAAGGCAAACTTAATTCTGCCTTTTCTGAGAGCAGACAGCTGATAACACTTTCTGAGTGAGTGGTTAGGAGAGAACCCATGTTGTTGAACATGATCAGTTCTCTTTCACAAGTAAAAGCTGTGAGAGCTATCGTGCCTGCTCACCTTGCAATGCAATGAGCACAGCTTGGTGCACTTCATTTTTCTCTATGTTTCTTATTTCTTTTTTTTTTTTTCATACAAGCTTTCACAAATCATCCCTTGCTATCACTGCCACCCTGAAGCACTAAAATGCCAGAGCAGGTGACCCTAGATGGAATTCAATCACACACATGTATGTGGCAGTATCCTGTAGATGACTTTTTGAGATTTACCAAGACATAACTATATTAACAAAATATGCACCTAACATTTCATTTAGTATTTTCCAGAGATGAGCACCTCTGTGATTTGTTCAACTCACCCTTTGCTTTCACAAGGACCTGGTGGGTGAGATCCATCTCACCCAACTTTACAATGCAGGCACCTACTTCAGAACTAGACACTCATGGCTGCAGCTACATTCAGCAGAGACAAGCTGACATTTTTAAAGCTTACTTTACCTAACCTACTTTAAACTCTTTCTTCAGGATAAGATTAATCACACCCTAAAAGTGCCTTTTCCCTCCACTGGAAAGAAAGGGACTGTATCCAATTAGCCTGATGAATCTCACACCAACAGTCCGAGGCTGAATGCTACAGCTGTTCCTCTGCCAAGTAATACTCACACAGAGACAAAATTACATCAGTGTCACTATTTTTTGGTAAGTTTTTGAAAGATTTAACCCAAACTGTTAGAAGCCTGAGTGCTGGCTGTGAGTTTACAGATATTTAGGCATCTCTGAACTGAACACAAGCAGCTATACCATGCTACTACACAGCCTTTGGATTTTCCCTAAGAACAGGACCATTTACCCTAAGCCTGCATAAATGCTGAGAAAAACCTCAAGTCTGCAGTTCAATTATGTGACTGAAGAGTTAAACCAGACCTCTAGATGTGCCAGATTTAGTGTTACAGGTGTTTTTATGTTTAAGATGCTTCAGTTTAATAATGACAATCTTCTTAATGAATAAGTACTTGCTCGGACATATCAGAGAAGATCATTAGAAATGTTACAATCAAAAAGAATACCCATTAGACCAGAATTCTCTCTTATTCTTTTTCTTGGAGGTTATGAGCTTCAATATCTACCTATGAAGTACCAGTGGTGAGGACAGATGTCCTCGCACTGGTTGTGGTAGAGAAACTATTCTCCAGACATTCCTATAAGTTAGTACATAGTAGCACGGTTAAAAAAAGCCAGTGTGTAAGTCCTGGGGGGTGTGTGGAAATTTGATGTGGAGCAAGATTTTCTCTTTGGGTTTACTGTTTTGAATTTCAAGTAAAATAACCAGCTGCTTAATTGCAAAAAAAAAAAAAAAAAAAAAAAAAAAAAAAAAAAAAAAAAAAAAAAAAAAAAAAAAAAAAAAAAAGAAGAAGAAGTACCAGGCTTGAGTAGGTAGTAGCAACTGAGAGAACTTTCATTATTTTAAGCAAACAGAAAGAGAGAAGAGGCAGTGAGGCAGAGGTCCAAATCTGGAAAGAACAAAAAACATGCAGAAAGAAAGGGAGGCAAGTGGCAGATGTATTGAGCAAGCACAGCTGAATCAAAGAGCTGCCAGTGACTGTGAGGAGCTGCAGAGTCGGAGCAGGAAATGGCGCAGCATGAAACTGGCTGTCCGTGAGGCAGCTGAACGGCGTCAGCTAAAAGTCGTGAGCAAAAGCAAAGTCTGCTGGGGAGAATGAGCAAGTATTGATGGCAAAAGATGAGGCAGGGTGAGAGCAGGACACGGGACAGCTCTCATTGTTCAGCTTGCTTCCGTCCCCGAGACACAGAACATGTCCCGAGACCAGTGAAACAAAATCAGTGTTCAGAATGCAATAAAATGATAATTTATCACTACTCACAGTTTATCTGTTGATTCACACGTTCCTTAGCAAAAGAACCTTGTTCTACCTGGAAAGCTTAAGAAGAAAATTAACCCATATATATATTTGCATGTATATACATATATATACGTATATATATATGTGAGTTGAGCTGTGAAACAAACATATGCTGTGCAGCATTAATTGCACAAACTCTGATTAACAATTATTTTAACAAAATATCTAAATAGCAATTTTACTATTAAATAGCTGTTACTACCCCTGTCCATAACCTCCAAGCTAGCAAAACATTATGTTAGGCAAAGATCAAAATCTTAATATTATACATTTACTTGAAGTTAATACAAGTTTAAAGCAGAAAGCATCATTACATGCACTGCATTAGTAATTATTAATTAAAAATATATGATATAACGACCTACCAAGTTCGACCAGAAGTTTGTCCAAGTTGGTCAAAAGTTCGTCACTCATTGTGTAAACTACAAAAGGAAAATGCAGTTCAGGGATTTACACAGTCAAAAGCCTTATTGATACAATAAACAAGTCAAAATTGCAAGACAATACCACACATTTTAACATAAAAGAGAGAAAAAGTAGTTTTATCTGCATTTGAATTACTGTCTAAACCCTGTTAGTGGAACCAAGTTTCTCACTGATAGTAGTAAGGGACTCAATGAAAGTCTAAACCACAGCTTGGAAAAAAGGAGGTTTATAATTTAGGTGAAGCGCTGCTCCTGGAGCAGTTCTACGTTTGAGAGGCTTAATGTTCTTAGAAGGCAGGAAGGATGCGGGAAAAGATGTTTGTGTGCAAAATGTGTAGCCTGTAGTCCAGCTGGTTACTAAGCCTATGGACTGCAGTGCTGGTGATGGAAAAAGCTCCTTAACCCTCCTGCACACTCCTCCCGTACAATCGCAAAGTATATTTGAATCAGAAGGTGTAAATATGTTCAGTGTGATTAAACACAGAACTCTCATACAACAGAAAGCAGATTGTTTACAAATTCACTGTTCTGTTCACATAGTGCTGCTGGGTGCAGAAATTCAGCGATGGGTTTTTAAACAGATGGGGAATAATGAGTTTTCTAAACAGGATGCAAACACGGTTTATCAGAACGCTCTGGATGCAGCTCGTTAGCTCAGGTACATCAACATTAGCCAAGTTATCTGATACTTAACTGCCTCCACAGCACAGTGAAAGAAGTAAAGCCACGACAAATCGGTGATGAGGATGAGATCCTAATCCGGGATAAAGTAGAATAGAAAACAACTGCAGAATTTAACTAAAGTGGCATTAAGGCTACATCCTGCAGCACTGAGACTGTGGAAGAGGGAGGGGGCGGGGGGAGCGTTTAAAATGCTGGATGTTTGACAGAAATGAATTTGTCTAATAGTTAAGGGAGGATCAGAACACCTAATCCAAGTGACCGGATTAGCACAGGCTGCGATAAAAACTCCGAGAAACAGATAATAGTTTTACCAAATGTATTTAGAAGATTGAAATCCTAGTTCCTAGTGCCTGGAAACACATGAGATAAAAAATAAAAAAAATCTTCTGAAAATACTAAGAAAAATACTAAGAAATACTACCTCAAGCCACAGGTCAATGCAGAATATTTTTGCTTTTACACGATGTGAAAGAAAATCTGAAGTAATTCCTTTGGATTAAAAAAAAAAAATAGTTTGGAGCATGTATTAAAAATCTGTTCTCTAGAAACAGTTTAACAATGTTTGCTAGTTGTTTTTCTGACACTTCCCATAAAAACTGCAAGATATTGGGGCAAGGAAATTCTATTCATTGGTTTATGAGCTGAACACAAAGTTCATCAATAGAGCAGACTCTATAGCTGTGTATTATTAAGATAGAGACTATTATATCATCGCTTAAACAATTACAAATAATTTTATCTTTTGCATATTTTCGTAGAAGAGAGAAACAGAAGTACAGCGATTTTTCAAAATTTTTTACTGTAATTTTATAATACAATTTATGAAAAGTGTAAGAAGTTGAAGAAAATAGTGCTTCTGAAAGCATGGATATGTAAAATACTTCTTATTCTATTATTAACTTGTTATTGCTAAAATGAAGTAACAACTGCAAATCACAAATGCTATTCTGTGCTGTGAATTAAGAGGATACAGGTGTCACTAGTAGAAAGGACTGAGAGATTCAATGGCACTGGTAATACAAACGGTGTTTTAAAAACAGTAGTTAATACCATCCTGAAACAATTTTTGGACAACTGATGTCTTCCAGGATTTGACTGGAGCAAAGACTGATCCTTGGACCTACTGCAGAAAAGTAGCACCAAACCATTATTCAACTCAGGATGACAAATTCAGAGGAAATTCTCATATATGGCTGATACTTTTGTAGAAGATAAACATGTAACCCACAGGACTGGGTAAAACAGCTTCAAACCGCATCTGTTCTTTCTAATGGGGCTATTCAGAACGCTGCCAGGTGAAAAATATTGTTTTGCACCTCGCGTTTTTGCACCGCGTTAATGTAATTATAGGGAATTCAATTGCGGCAATAAAGTTTCGTATATTACAAGACTGCACTGGGTGAAGAACCCACAAGCAAAGTGCTGATGGAGTCTGTAGCCATTACAGCACTAACATTAATGGCACTTCTCAGTAAACCCATCTGGCAACAGCCATTTCTGGGTTCTTCATTAAAAGGTGGGAAATGCCCATAATCTGTGAGGTAAATATCTTCCTTAAAATCCAAGGCTCAGTTCTACCAACTGTAGGCTGTGAAACGGTATTAATTCCTGTTGTCTTTATACAAGTAATTTTCAGTCCGGCGAGGCTCTTTTGAGAGCAAACCGTATTTCTCCTGCGCTATTCATTACTGTTTACGACTGTAAAGAGACTGCTTATTTGATTCTTCATGAAATTTTGTGGAGTTCACATTTCTAGACTAACTTTTCATCTCAACTGAAAAAAAAAAAAATTGAAATGTACTTCATTTTAATGTATGTGCTACTCTGCCCCTCTTTTGCCACACCGTTTTCGGAACCACGTGAGGAGACCTGAACATCCACTGGATTGCCACATTTCACTTAGTCCGGTACATACCAAACAAAAGGTTATTGCTGTAGATTATTCTCTTAAATCCTGGGATTTAAAACTACTTTTTGTCAAAAAAAGTGTGGGGAAAACCCTTATCCTGTGGGATACCACGGGGGCTGAGGAGCAGCGCCACAAAATGGCGGCGCGAGAAGCGGGGAGCGAGTCCCTCACGGCGGAGGAGGAGGACGGGGACGGGTCAGGAGTCCCCTCTGCATTTTGGGGGGCAACAGCACTGGGGAAGTGACCAGAACGTGGTGGCCCCTTCCCTCGCCACAAGGAAAAGGGCGAGGAGCCGTCCAGAGACTCACTCAAAGGCCGCCAGAGGAAGGGGTCGGAACACCCCCCGCTGCCCCCCTCGGAAAACTGGGGGGACTTCCCACCTCTCTGGGGCACCTCAGCCCCGTCAAAGGGTGCGGAGAGGGCGGCAGGTATCACCTTGTCACCTCCACGCCGTACCGGAGGTGGTGGGAGCCAGGGCTGTGGGGCAAGCCCGGAGCAGGTTCAGCCGCCGGGAGAAGGGGCCGAGGCCGTTCACGCAGCAGGTGAACGGGCGGCTCCCGGAGGGGCTCCCGGGCCGCAGCGCTGCGCTCCCTCAGGGCCACATCGGCGGGGGGCCTGTCCCCCAGAAACCGCCCTCTTGCTTTAACAGCGGGAGTTATGAGGGAAAGACCAACATTTCTGAGGGCTTCGGGCGAAAAGCGATGAGGATGCTCCATCTACCGGGAGCAGCGCGCAGGAGGGGCGGGAGCCGGACGGGGAGAGGAGGCAGCGTCGCTGGAACGGGGCATCGCCCAGAAACCTACTGGGGAGGGTTAATTACACACGTACGCACTCCGGGATGTGGCACAAAAAAAAAGAAGGTGCAGAATGTAACTTGCTTTATCCATCCTCCAGGTCCCACGCGTGCTGCTGACCGAGCTGTGGAAGATCAGCCCAAATCTTCCTTCCCTCTTTCCTTCACGGGCCCGGCCCTCGAACAGTTTAAAAGGGCGCTAAAAACCATTAAAAAACAGTTTAAAGAGCACTAAAGGCATCTCCCTTGTCCTCCCGGAGCAGCTTCACACTGAGGATGCTGCGGAATGCCGCCGCTCACCTCAGCACAACCTGCGCTCACAAAATTGTGCGCGTTTATTTATTTATCGATGGTGCAGTATTACAAGGCAAAAATGCAGAGCTCGGGCACGGAAGAAACTAGAACACGATGCTCCCTTCCACGCTGCGGTAGCCACGGGGGTTTTTCGCCCCCGCCCCCCCCCGTTGAGATTACTGAGGCAGAGGATGGATTTAAGATTCTCAATAAGCAAGAGAAAATAAATTGGAGGGCAGGGTACAAGGCGGAGGGAAAACAATGGAACTGATGAAACAAGGGAGGACAGGAAAATTGAACAAGGCTGAAGAGACGAACAGAAAAGTCTCTGCCACCCGCAGTCCCGGTGTTGGTCAGATGCGATGCTGCTTTCAGAACAGTCAATTCAACCAACAAGAAATGCAGCTTCAAAGACAAATAGCTGACCTACCCGGCTTCAGGGCAGAGATGAGGAGGGGAAAGAAAAAAGAGGGAGAGAGAGGGGGAAATAGAAAGAGAGGCATGTTCTTTTGGAAGTCAGATGTCTGCGGCCTCTGCTCCGTGCACACTGCTGGTGGCGAGGCTCTGTCCTTTCCAGGACCATCTCCCACCTTATCTCCTTGCCCGTGGCGAGAGCCACCTCCTTGTCCTGCTCCCCAGAGACACTCTAATTCCTAGATGCCTCTTGGGCTCTGCAGCTGCTGTTTTGCAACCGGTCTTCCCAAATAATTGAATGTTCTTGCAAGGAGAAGTTGCTTCAAAGCTTTGTCCTGCCTTAAAGACTCTTAGAGACCCCGCAACCTTCTAGAAATGGGACTCTAACAGCATAGTAGCAGGTAACTTCACTGATGGTCATTAGCACCTCCCTGTGTCCCGGTCATTTAAGTAGTGGTGCCAAGGGAGGCTGAAGTTCCCACAGATCCGGGGACCCCAGTTCACCCGGAAGGTGGTCAGTCAGTTCAACAGGCTTTGGATAAAGCCGGCAGGGACTTCCTGATTAATTCCCCCTAAGGACTGTCCCCACCTGGACTTGTCAGGGCCCAGGAGCTCCTTTACCCATTTCTTTATTGCAAGGACTCCCGTCCGACGTTATCGCTCTGCACCCACCTGCTGTGTCCCGCTGGTTCCACCGTGTTTGTTTTTTCCTTCTTCCCTACAGAAAAAAAACTCAACCAAAGCCACAAACAAACATTTTCATTACCGATGGCAAGCAGGAAGGACTCTTTCATAGTATTATCTCTAATCAATGATGAATGGGTTGCACTATGAAAAGAGATATGGTCAATTCGGGGATCAAAAAGGGCTCCCAAACCCACTCCCTCTCGCTGTCAGACCCCCAGGCCCATCACTCCGCATCTCGGTGGGCTCCATGCCCCTCTCCTGTGGTTCTGGTGGCTCCTCCCAGTCCCGATTGCCGCTCCTCCAGCTGATGGAGAGGGCAAAGTAACCCCCAGAGAGGACAAGGCACCCCAGTGCACCCAGCAGCACATATTATCGAGTTTGGGAAGGTCTCTGGAGACACCCCATCGAATCCCCCCAGAAGAAAGCAGGGAAGCTTCGCTGCCTAATTTATCGGGATAAGGAGTGGAAAGTTGTTGTCCTCATGAAGCTGCTCGGGCATAAACTTGCTCCCTGAAGCAGCGCTGTAATGCCGGAGCCCAAGCAAATGCCAGCCTTCACCCATGGCCCCAGTCCTGTTTCCGAGCCCGGGGTGGTGCCTGACTCCCACACGGTACCCAAATCTAAGAAGGAGCTCACTCACAAGAAAGGAGGGACCCTGTTTCCCTCTCAGCCTTCATCCACAGCGAGTCACCTCCAGGAAGGGCTGGAGTCCAGCTCAGTGCCAGCGCCCAGACCAGCCGGGACACAATATTTGTCCTGGACTCAGCCCCGGGAGCATTTAGACACGACACTACCTTAGGGTATCTAACCCTGGTTCTTCACCTCCCCCAAACACCCGAATTGTCCCCATTCCTACTCTCTGCTAAATAAGTTTTCGTGACAACCCTCGTCTCCATCCTGGAAGAAAATGTAATATTTGAAGGACTTGAATGTAAAAGAAAAAGGGAAGGGAAAGGAAAAAAGGAGAGGAGAGGAAAGGAAAGGAAAGGAAAGGAAAGGAAAGGAAAGGAAAGGAAAGGAAAGGAAAGGAAAGGAAAGGAAAGGAAAGGAAAGGAAAGGAAAAGGAAAGGAAAGGAAAGGAAAGGAAAGGAAAGGAAAGGAAAGGAAAGGAAAGGAAAGGAAAGGAAAGGAAAGGAAAGGAAAGGAAAGGAAAGGAAAGGTTTATTGAAATACTTTGGGAATTTGTTTATTGCTTTTGTCAAAATTGTCAGTGAAAGCCCAGACAGAAACTGACAGAAACAAATTGAAGATTTTATGTGAGAACGTCAGTGTAAAAGGAGATTTGGTGCCATGTGTATTTACCTGCAGGTAAAAGCAGCAGCCAAACAAATCCCGATGGATTTTAGATTTTAAAACCAGGTTCATGGCTACACCCTAAAGAGAACTAAAGATAAATTTTGGGTAGTAGATCTTTTCCGTTTGCAGCCATGGTCTTGACCAGAGCCCTGTACAAGGAAGGTCTTTCCTTACCTATGTCAAAATAATTCAAGGGTTTTGAGTTTTCATTGCATCTTTATTCTAACATCAGATATACCAGCCATGGCCTGATACTTCATAGTAAAAGTACCCTAAATAATACGCCAAAGGACAAAGATTTAATGAATATACGGTGTGAGAGTGGAAAGTGGGTGAGCATCTCTCTCTGTCCGGCAGCATTTTAGGGTCTCTTTGGTGCTTTCAACAGGTATCAGTAACTTTAGCGAGGATACAACCTGCTCACTCTCGCTAACGTCAAGCAGATTACAGCTTTAAATGTAGCTTTATTCGCAGGAAGAAAATGAGTGATTGATGGCTGTTATTTTGACAATCACGGCACTCTTAAAAAGAATAAGGTAAGTGTGCGAAACACATCGAAACACGGGTCGTTTCCCTACCAAGCACCCCCCAGCACAGCATCCTGAGCTTGAGGTCCTCCCTCCACCAATGCTTCCGGATAACTCGGTGGGAAACGCTCCCGAGAACCCCGTCCCCGCTCCCCGGAGGGGCTGACATTTCCAGGAACCTTTTCTATAGGAGACAGCGGGCACTGTCCTCGGGCTGACAATCCCTCCCGCCTGCTCCGGGGGAGCGGGGTAAGAGCCAGTCGCGGGCAGAGCAGGGATCAGTGCCGCTTCCCGGTGCCCGCTCCAGCCCTGCCCGTCCCGCAGCGCTCCGCGGCACCAGGCCGGGTCCTGCCCAGACACATCCAAGGCCAAAAAATCCCAGATTTTTCCAGGTACTCCTCCGAGGGACTGCGTGCGCTCCGGCTCTCCCAGCAAGCATCCCTTAATGAACTCCCAAATCTCCGACAATCCTACCGAGAGTTTAAAGTGGGGCTTCTCCTTCCCGAGGCTAATTTTTAATGCAATACTTAACGCCAGTCAAATGTTTTAAAAATGTATTCGCACCTCTGCTGCGTTTGGAAGCTCCATCTAGATAAATAATCCCCAGAGACATAGGTTCTTGGACCCAAGACAGCTGATAACCGCTGATATGAAGGCGTATAGGTATGTTGCTTAGCATATTTTTGCTTTAAGGAGGGGAGAATATGCCCTGTCCTGAGGCCAGAGAGCACACTGCGTCCATGCAGGCCAGCGGGAGGCTATGGATGGCTGGCCGTATTTTTGAGATGTATTTTTTTTCATGTGCAGTTCTCCTCCTTGTTCTCCAGTGGGTTCATCTACGTAGGGTAAACTCTACCTGTAGCAAGGGTCAGAGCCGTGACCTAAATTAAAGTAGTTGTCATTGCCGGCTGTTAATGTCACGAGTAGTGTCTCCATTATATGGGGCGGGGGGGGGGGGGAAGAATAAACTGGGGGGAAAGGCCGAAACTAAGCAGACACGCCTGAGTGCACCCCCAGGCTCACAGGCAGCTCTAATAGGACACGGGGACTGAGCCAGGAGCTTGGGCGCCGCAGGAGACTCGGCTTTCCCGGACGCGGCACCGCGTCCCACGGGAATGGGGTCGCTCCTGGGGGTCGCTGCGGGTCGCGCTCCAGCGGGAAATCCCAGCCCGGCCCGGTGGTAGAGCTCCTGCGGAGCAGCGGAGCGGCGGGGAACCTGCCGGGGTCCCGGCCATGGATAAAATTCCCAGAGGGGTGGGAAAAGGAATGGAAAGGCCCCGTTGGAGCTGATAACTCTCTCTGCGCTGGTGGCACAGAGCAAGGACACCCAGGACCTTCTCCAGACAGGGACAAGCCAGTCTCATCAGACTGTGCCATTTCCCAAATACAGACCCCAGCGTTCCCAGCTGGAGACGGTGCAAAACCATTGGAGCTGGGATAGCTTCCCCTTTCCCTTTTCAGGTCACCCTTTAAGTGGTTAACACAAGGTTCCTGGTTCCATATCGGTGTCGCCTTTTCTTTCTCTCCCTCTCCCCTCCCAGCATCGCCCCATCCGGGCCGGTTTCTGGGGAACAAAGGCTGGGGAGCTGGGGGGCAGCCCCTCGCCCCTGCGAGCTGCTCTTAATGAGGATTCATTTCTTTAGCCTACAGTCCTGGCTTTCATTATGGAGCCTGTCTCCCTCTGTTCATGGTCATTAGGCTGCAGCCCAGTAACTCCCTCGCCAGATCATGTGCATTCTTTAAAAAAAGGAGGAAAAAAAAAAAGGGAAAAAAAAAAAAAAAAAGAAAGACCCCTTCAGTAATATTAGTAACCATCATCATCATCTGGCCGTTCTAAATTAGCTAGGCATTAACACAGGCTTTCCCCTCTTCCACCTCTCCCACAGCAGAGGTTTTCCTGCACCATTCCGGTCCCGGGACGCTGCCGAGGGCTCGGCGGGGCGGGCTGGGGGGCACCGGGGCAGCTCCCGCCCGCGGGGACGCGCCCGGCACCGCCGGGGTCGCCGCCTTCTCACCCGCTCGATGGGGAAGCCCGATGCTCATACCGAGGAGATCTGGGGTGCTTTTAAAATTCCTGTCCTAAAAGGTTATTTGGGATCTTTCGTTGAACTGGTAAAATTCCTGTTTTTCCCTGATGGACTGGACAGTGATGGGACGGAGAGGTGGAAGGGGACTCTACCCAGCAATATTTATAGATGATATTATCCTCTTCTCTATTAAAAAATATTTATTATATTTATATTTATTTATTTTTCCCTAAGCAGATGGGCAAATCAAACCTGGGTGAAGGTGAAGCCGAAAAGTCTCTCCTTTTATTTTTTTTTTTAAGTTTCTGTGGAGTGTCTCTGAACTCGTGAGTTTTGTGTGTGCTTTTGTGTCTCCCCAGCTCTGTCGGGTTTTATGAAAATGAGCAGTATTGAAAGCTTTTCCATCCCGCTAGCTGTGAGCCTCACATAAATGATGTAAATGGCTCGAAGGGTTTTTTTCAAGTGAACTGTGTAGATCTGTGAAAATAATATCAGGGTTTTCCGTCAGAATGAGCTTAGCACTGTACTGAGGCGTACCATAATCTGACCCGACACCTCCGACCATCTGCGCTATCTATCTGCCTTCTGATTTACCAAATCTTCACAAGCAAAAGACAAATTGTACTTGATACTAAAGAAAAGACGGCAAGCCTCAGTCCAGCTCCATTTCTGCGGAGAAATGATTGGAGAAAATGTAAATCTGTTTAATTTCGGTCTACGGGCAACTAGCAAAGGAGCTTTCTTAAAGAAGGGAAGAAAGGAAAACAAAAACAATCAGGAAAAAGAACAAGGGGGGAAGAGACAATAACAAGATATCAAATTAAGAAGGGATTTTTTTGACAAGCATTCTAGAGAAAAGTGCATTGCAAAGAGGAGAGGGGAGAACATATTGAGCTTAATTCAAAATATATGCTGCCTTTCCGAGCATGGTCCCTAACATTCCCAGGAAGAAATTGCCACTGAGCGGCTATATTTAGAATAAAGTGTGGCTTCTTGATTATTCCCCGATTTTCTATTAAGATAAAACGTATCCTCGCGGCTCAGAAAATGATTTCATCCCACCCCGAGACGACTGGAGCTGGCCCGGCTCCTCCGAAGAGGCGTCCGGGTCTCACCTCGCACCCAGCCCCGCAGTCCCTTTCTCGGGGCTCGGGGGGAAAAGAAGCCCGCGAGGAATGATTACTACGAGGTGATCAATATTTCAAAAGATTCCCGAAATCTGCTTTAAGTCGCTTTCCTGACCTACAAATGACTTCTCACTCCTCGCGACTATTCTCGGCGTCTATTCAGGACCACTGAGCCGAAAACAATAAGGTTTTAAACGTTAAAAAAATAAATAAATAAAGCTTTAGTTGAACGGGGAAGGGCACTGGGCTCTTTGCAGATAATTCCTCGTCATAACAAAGATAAGAAGTCACTTACAGGGGGAAAGGGGAGAGTTTTTCCCTAAATATTGGCTCTCCCTGCGGTCCTCCCGCGGCATCCATTGTCACTGACACTCCCAGAATCATTATCACTGTTATGCAGCCAATTTTTTTGTCTGATTTCCCAGCTCTGCCTTTATCCCCCTCTCCGCCCGCAGATGCGCCGAGCTCTGTGCGAGCATCACCGGGCCGGACCCCGCAGCTTTACCGGGGCGGGTGGTGGGGTCCCGGCCGTCCTATCCCTGAACCTGCCGACAGCACCCCGCGGCGGGAGCCCCCTCTCCCGGCCCGCATCCCGCCGCTCCCGGGGCGGCCGGGCGGCCGTGCCCTGCCCGGGTCGGCGGGGCAGGGCGGCGGGGTCGCGGTGTCCGGGGGAAGCGGGGCGGGGAGCGGGGCGGGGAGCGAGGCGGTGCGGGGCGGTGCGGGGCCTCCCGCCGTGATTGGCAGCGGCTGGCAGTGAGTGGCAGCCCCGCCATGGAAACCCGGGAGCCAATCTGCCGAGTCCGCAGCGAATCAGCCGCTCCCGCAGCAGCGCGGCGGCGGCGCGGAGCTGCGCTTGTGCCTTTTCTGGTTTCCTTTTTTTTTTTTCCCTTGCTTCTTCTTCTTTTTTTCCGCCTTTTTTTTTTCCCCCCATTCCCTCCCTCCCCCCCCCCCGCGCACCCTCCCTCCCCCTTCCCACTCCATCCTCCTCCGCCTCGCCCCTGCCCACCGCCCCCAGTCTCCGGAGCCGCCGAGCGCTGCCCATCGCCTCTCCGCCCTCCGCCGTCCCTCCCGCGGCAGCTCCGCCGGCGCCGGCGGAGGCAGCAGCGGAGCGAGGGGCGGCCCCGGGGCCGCTGCCCCCTTCCCCGCCGCGGGGGCGTGCGGGCATCGCCGGGGGTGCGCGGAGCGCGGAGCGGAGCCCGGCGCCGCCTCCATGTTCCAGCTGCCCATCCTCAATTTCAGCCCGCAGCAGGTGGCCGGGGTATGCGAGACCCTGGAGGAGAGCGGGGACATCGAGCGCCTGGGTCGCTTCCTCTGGTCCCTGCCCGTGGCCCCCGCGGCCTGCGAGGCGCTCAACAAGAACGAGTCGGTGCTGAGAGCCCGGGCCATCGTGGCCTTCCACACGGGGAACTACCGGGAGCTCTACCACATCCTGGAGAACCACAAGTTCACCAAGGAGTCCCACGCCAAACTGCAAGCCCTCTGGCTGGAAGCGCACTACCAGGAGGCGGAGAAGCTGCGGGGTCGACCCCTGGGGCCGGTGGACAAGTACCGGGTGAGGAAGAAGTTCCCGCTGCCCCGCACCATCTGGGACGGCGAGCAGAAGACACATTGCTTCAAGGAGCGGACGAGGCATTTGCTGCGGGAGTGGTACCTGCAGGACCCTTACCCCAACCCCAGCAAAAAGCGGGAACTGGCTCAGGCCACGGGACTTACTCCCACACAAGTGGGCAACTGGTTCAAAAACCGCAGGCAAAGGGACAGGGCAGCAGCCGCTAAGAACAGGTAAGGTGCTGCCCGTCCCGTCGGGGCACAGGAACCCCCCTTAGCGAGCCTTCGTGGGGGGGGGGCGGTGCGAGACTGCCGGCAGAGGATGGGCGAAACGAGCCCGGGAGGTTTCTCCCCGGGAAATGCAGCGAGATAAAGCAGGAGCAGCGGGAAAACCCTAGGGGTTTTAAATGACCTGGTTTTAACAGGGGAGGGTCCCCGCCCCGGCTCCCCCTTGGCCGCCCTGGAGGGAGCGGGACGAGGGAGCGTGAGAGGGGCCGCCCGGAGCCGCCGCGACCCCGGCGGGAGCTGGAGTGTTCAGGGCCGTGTTCAGGGGCTGAGCGGAGAGAAATCCCCTTCAAAGTTTTGCCCGGACATATAGATACCTCTTCGAGGTACGTCCATCCTGAGCAGAGCCGGCCATGCCCTCTGCGGGCCCTGCCAGAGCCTCCATGCCCTGTTCCTCTGCTGGAGCCAGCTGCGAACATTCCTCGGGATATTGCTCTTATTTCTATTCTTTAAAAATATATTAAAGAACAAAATCGCAGCTCTAAATGGGCAGTGTTATCCCAATACTAGTGACACAAACAGGCGCTCCGGGAAGCGTGGAAAGGAGCAGAGTCTCCCCATTATGCCCTCTCCATGATCCCTGGGAAATTCCCGTTGTCACCCCTCAGCCGGGCTGCCGCAAGTCAGGGACGTGGCTGCCATCACCTGCAGCCCCTTTTTGTAGGCTGAGGGAACATGTAAGGCCTGCTGGAGGGGAGCCGCCGCCCGGGAGATGCTGCAAGGAATTACCGACCGCTCGGATGAGGCCCGGTCTGGGGACAGGCTGCGGAGGAGGGGGACAGCCTTCCCCCGGGTGTGCCAGCCGACGAGCGGGGTTGACCCTGAGGTGGGCACCCAGTTTCTCATCTCAGCTCTGCCTGAGAAACTGAGTGCCCACCCAGTTCCTCCTCTCTCCTGTCGCTGGTGTAACTGGTGTGAGCTGGAGGCTGCGGGCAGCAGCTCGGGGGTGCAAGTCGGGGGAGCCCCCAGTGGGGTCGCAGGGGGCTGCCGGCGGGTCCGGGGGTGCGGAGGGCGGGCGGTGATGCTGTGTGTGCCGGTTCCTTGCAGGCTACAGCAGCAGGTCCTAACGCAGGGCTCGGTGCGCTCGCTGCAAGCGGAGGAGGAGAGCGGCGGGGAGGCGGTGGGGGCCGCCTCCAGCCCCGCAGCCAGCCTCTCCAGCAAAGCGGCCACCTCCGCCATCTCCATCACATCCAGCGACAGTGAATGTGACATCTGACACCACCGCCATGGCAATGCGGGGGCAGCGGCAGGCCCGGCTCACCGGTGCCTGCCCGCACGGCCGGAGCAGCGGGGCTGGCAGTGCCCGGCCGCGGGAGCCAAACCCGGGGTGCGGGGAGCTCCCCCGCCGCCCGCCCGCGCCTCCCTCCCAGTCCCGCAGCAGACTGCATTAAAAAACGTCATTGAAATCCTTGTCGCCTTTACTTCGAAGGATTTGCAGAATTTATGCCTAAAAAAAAAAAAAAAGTAACTAAATAAAGCCCAGAAAACGAAAAATAATAATCAACAAGAAAACCGAATGCCAAGTTGGAAAATGTCTGAGCGCCTGCCCTTATCCCGTGGGGGTGTTTCATGTCGAAAAGACGCTGTTCTTTTGGTTGGGTTTTGCTTTACTTTCAAGGGTTTTTTATATATATATATATATAATGTTTATTTACTTATTTAAGGGATTGCTATGGTAGATTTTTTCTATTATTATTATTATTAATTATTATTATTTTTGGCTTGTTCTCTATGTGCACAGGTGACTTGTAGAGCATGTGCAGGACGAAACTGTATGAAGCAGCCTAAAACCATAATAAAATATTTGGTGAACGACCCTCGCATCTGCTTTGAAATGACGGTGTCGGTCTCAAGCCCGCCAGTTTACGCAGAGCAGATCTCCGAGGCCACGGGTATTTCAGCATCAGCTCGGCAGGAACAGAACTAGCGGGTCCCCAGGACCGAGGGTGATGTCTTTGCCAGGCAGGGAGCGGGGGGCAGCCGGGATGAGGGGAAGAGTGAGGGGAAGGGTCTGGAGGGGGATGCGGGTGCCCAGGCAAGGGAAGGAAGCGGCATCGCCGCGGCTTCTCCTCTCCCAAGGGCTGAAGCTTTGCGGATTATCGCGGCCAGTGTTCGGACAGAGACGAGGAAAAAAGGGGGAAAAAAACCCATTAAAATGGAGAGAGATGGTTGGGGCACAGCCCAGCCGGGGAAACTAAGCCTCCTCCTTCACCTGGCAAAGGCAAGGAGAAGATGGGGAAATAACCATGCCAAGGAAGGACCCGATTAGGGGCGAAATAGCCCCAAATCGCGGCCTCTGAGATGTGCCAGGGGTTGTCCCCACCATCCGCCTCCGTCGCTTTGTCTTGCGGCGGTTTTGCTGGAGGAAACCAAACGCCAGGTTCAAGGAGCGTGCTAAGCTTTTTCCCCCCAGCCAGAAGGATTTTATATTATACAATTTGACATTGATCTTTAAATCGCCTGAGCTGTGCTTTTTTTGTCTTCTCGGTCTCATCGCGTTTACTTCCCTGTCCTCAGAGAGATGCCTCCCCGGTAAGCTGATTGCTCGGCTCGTTTTATTTAGCAGCCGAAGCCTGGCACCGGGCAGCGCTGGGAGCAGGAGATGCCCCGGCTCCCTGCAAGGGCAGCGGCCGGGGAGGCACAGGGGCATTTATTTCGGTTCCTTGATAGTTTAATTCAATCCTGCTGCCTTTTATCGGGGGGTATATCTCTGTCTCGGCAGTGGCTTTTCCCCCTCTGCCTGAAATTGAATTTAAAGGCCGGATTCAAGGCGTTTATACCGCCGATGCCTGAATCTGCTTTCCACCCCCAAATGCATGTACCTTGGTTTTCCTTATAGACGGTTTCAGGGATAGGGCAGGTAGCAGGAATTTATTAGCTGTTTTCCAAGCTTATTTACAAGCAGCTATTTCCTTGGTGGGGTGTAATTGAAGGTGTCGGAGGGGGCAAATGAGCTGTAAGTTGGGAGCGCGGGAGGAGTGGATCGCAGGGCGGGGAGCGGGGGCAGTGCGCGGGTTTCCACCTGCCTTTAGGGTACCTACCTGCGGGAGCGTCCGGACCAGCACACCTTGCACCCCAAACCCCGAGGGGTTTTTGCCTCTTAAACCCCACCGGATTAAAGCCGTGCAAGAGGAGCCCGGCTTTGCTGTTTTAACCTCAGACAAGGTGTGAGTTTTACCTTGGGTTTGGGATTCGCTGGCGAGCAGCTCTTCTCACCCACGAGGTAGTTTTGAGAGCAAACTCGGTATTCGCTCTCAAAACGGAATCTGCTGAAACACGTCGTGTTCTTCCTTTCTTTTCTTCCCCGGGAGTCGGTGAAGCGGATTGCAATTTTTCCATCGGCTTCTGCGGGCAGAGTAGTAGCGCTTATTGTGGGGAATTAAAGCTTTCAAAGACATATAAAGAGAGTGGAGAATTATATAAGCACATGCGCTCGGCGTCTGGTAACGTGGAATTTCTCTCCAAAAAAAAAAAAAAAAAAAAGCTGGAATTGGGCCAATAGGCAGCGGGGATAATATTTTCTCTTTCGACAAAGGGTTTAAGTGTCATGAAGGATGCGGGATCTCCCGAGTGGGCTGTGGAGGGGCTTTCTCGCGCGCTGCTCGTGGCGAGACCATGAACTAATCCCCTTCCGAAACAGTGTCCGGGGCAGGAAGCGGAGCACGGAGCCCACTTGGGAAGAGCAACCCCGCTTCCCGGCCTTGCTTACTGTGGGTGATCGGGAGAACCGAGGGTCTCCCAGCGCTTATTCCCCGCCGGAGCTCCGCAGGGGCAGGAGTCTTGGGACTGCACCGACGCCTTTAGTTCTACGGATAAGACTCAAAAAAGAAAAACACTTCCCACCGCCCCCTCCCTTTTTTTTTTCTTCTGCCCTTTCCCTTCCCTTATTGAAAGTGCGTGCCCTTCTCGTGGCATTTTCAACATTTTTTCCCCTAAAGATCAGCCCAAGCTGTCGCCCTCCTGAGCCTTTGGTTGTTTTAAAAATAATGATAATTATAAACGGGGAAGAGTGGAGGAGCTTGTATTTACATTAAACAAAACGCTCCGAGAAGGGTCACTAAAAAGTCTGCCTTGACCCCTCTCTCTCCGGTTTAACAAAGAAGGAAAATATTGTATCAAAAGTGAACTGAATGGATAAGGCGGAGAAGAGAAACAGCTTTTCCTCTCTTCAGCTGGGAAGGGGGGGAGAAATGTTTGAATATTTCCGTTTCTTTTGAGAAGCGGGGCAGCCCCGGGCAGGGCTGAATGGGAAAGTCTTGTAAGCGGGCTGGGAGGCTGTCAAACTGCTCAGAGTAATCACTGCTAATGAAGGGGTCTCCAGCCCTCCCTGGGACAAAGGATGCTTACGAGTGCTCGCCGGGGCTGAATACCTAATAAGTTTGCAAGGGGGAAAAATGAGTGAGCTGTCCGTAAATTGATTTTGCAAGAGAAAAAAAAAAACAAAACACCCAAACCAAAACAAGACAAACAAAAAAAAAACCCCAACAACAACAAAAAAAGGAGATGGAAAGGCTCGTAGGTTTGGGAGAGCCTGGCCCCGGTGCAGCTGGGGACAGAAGGCCCACTTATCCGGGGTGCATTGTCCCAGCCCCACAGAGGAAGGCTGCTGCTGTTTGCAGTGGAGAGAGGGCTGGGGGGTTGCGGGAGCCTTGGAAAAGCCTCTCCAGGCCGGGAGCACTGCCCCAGCTGCTGCCTGGCACACGCGGGTGCTCCCCGCACGCCCATCTTCGCGCTCCAGTTTGCACAAGCCTTGCAGAGCGTTCATCCCATCCCCATCCCGCAGCCCAGTCCCACAGAAGGGACTGTTCCCTTTTTGTTCTGCCACTGCCTTTTGTCCCTCATCTAACTATGGTGTTTTCCTTGCCGAACAGAAAAAGGGGGATGTCTGGAAAGCTGCCAAATATCGCAACACCACCAGCACCCTGCTCGCCTGGGAGGGCTCCTGTATGAAGGAACTCTGGCTCTGGCCTGCTGGCCTGGAGCTGGGTGCTGTCAGAGGTTAGAAAGGGGGCTGGGTTCGTGGGTGAGCGTCCTTGTGTGACAAGAAGAGCGTGTGTGTCGTGGCTGTGGGAAGCAGGAGAGTGAGCCGCATTTTGGACCTTTCACGCATCCAATTAAAGGCTTGGGAGGATCAGACTATCACAGATCCAGTTACCCCTGGCCGGTGCAGGGGTAATACCATGAGAGAGAGTGTAATACTCCCCAGGGATGTCTGCACCCACATCTCAGCAATGCCAGGCATTGGCTTTTCCTTGCTTGTGTTATTTCTTTTCCAGGAGAAGATCCAAATGTGTTTGCTGGAGGGGAGGATGAAAGTGTGGGAGGCCAAAGGGAAAGGGCAATGTGGAATGAAGAAGATGCCAAACTTTGAACTGTCCTCTCCCTTGTCACTTCCCCAAGGCCATCCTGCAGCCCCAGCACCCACAAAGGATCCTGAACCCTGGGCTGACCTTGGTGTGCCCCTCCCAAGGGGGGCCCAGAGGGTGAGACCTAGCTGGAAATACAGGAATGAAAAATTTCATCTTAGTTCCTCTGAGGGTTACAGCACTTTGCACTCCATCAGCTTTTATTCTTGGCATCGGGGTGACAGATAAAACCTTTGGATTTCTGCTCCCTTCTGTTTCAGGACAGGCTGCAAGACCCCCAGTAAAAGGCCAAGAAAGGGCTTCCCTTCTTCCATTACTTTCTACACCCATTCTAGGTCCCCCATCTCCCCCAAAAATGCAGAAATTCCCTAGAAAGCTCATTTTAACCCTGCTACCTTCTGATCTGTGACATGAGCCTCTCTGGCACACATATTCCCCCTCAAGAAATACAGCTTGGAGGGAAATTCCCAGTTTCAAACTTTATAAAAGCAAAGTTTGTTCACCTCTGCCTCTTTGCAGAGTTGGGGGAGAGGCACTGTTGGCCCATGATCCTGTTAACTGCCTCCCTACACTTAACAGACAGCCCTGGAGCATCACCCCTCATCACTGTTTCCACTATTTTTGTCCCAGAAGTCCTAAAAATGGTGCCAATCACCCAGTGCTCTCCTGTCACAGCTCCTCTCCCACTGTATGGAGTAAAACCCAAGGGACTTGTCCTGTACCTTGGGATTGCCCCGTAATGCTGAGCTAAACCCACCCCTGTGGGTGACCCTCACACACAGCATGGGCAGGATGGGATCCTCATCCTCCCCACTAACTGCCAGGGGAAAAGCATCTCCTCTCCAGCAACGCCCAAGGAGGGGCCTGGTGGGACCTCCAGGACTCCAGTGTGCTTATCCCAAGCCAAATAAATGGTGTCAGACAAGGCTGGGAGCTTTCTATCCTCAAAGTCTGGATTTGCAGTTCATCTTCAGACAACCTGAACAGCCTTTTCGGGAGGGTGTCCCTGTGGAGACAACATGCATGGGATGGTCTCTTGCTCCCCCAGCATGTCTTCATCCAGCACCCACTCCTGACTGGAAAACACCTGGCAGGGTTTTAGCTCTTTTTTTGTCACAGTAGAGACCTGCCATGGAGAAGGAAGCTGCTCTGCCATGTCTGGGCTATTAAATGACATGTCCTGCCACTGCTGCCCCCCTGATGGGGGGCCCTGCTCCACACTTCTCAGCCCTCTCACCCTCCAAATAAGATGGCTGTGTCCATGGGAAAGACTCTGCATGCCATGCTAGCTACTGAGCTGTTCCCCAGGGATCATGTGAGACAGCTCTGCCTGGTCTGAGGCAACCCTGAGCCAGGGACTCTTCTAACGTTTTAATAGGATAAGTGATGAACCTCAGTGCCCTCATATGCTTTAATGTACAGATACAGCCAGACTAAATCACTTGAGAC